AAAAAAATTGAAAATTCGAGGGGTCTTTACCACAAAAGTTTTCTACTTTGTAAATATTAGAGTTCATGGCCGCATGTATGGGCCCATATGACGCCAAATCTAGTTAAATGAATTCAATTTCAATATTTACAGTGTACGTAATAAGTCTCACAGGGGGACTATCCTCAGCACCTATCAGTGATATTTCCTACGAACCTCCAGCATTCACTGTGGAGGGCAGAGCCGGGATTGAGTAACAACGTCCTCACTTCGATGATGATTCTCAATCGCTCTCGTTGTCTGTATCGTCTTCATCCCTAAGCACATCCACCTATCATCATTGTCATGAAGCTAACTACGATCAGATCAGATGGTAGGGTCGAAGCCCTACTCATCCCCAACCCTTGATCATGGAAGAAAAGCCATCCGATGAGTTTCCGGAGCGTACCCAGCACCTGATATGGAGATGGTGGATTGGATCAAATCGGCCTTCAATGTTGCAAAGAAGGGAGATATAGATGAATGTGCGCACCTCATGTGGTCCCGGTGTCTAGGCCTCGTCTGGCTGAGTTTACAAAGTTTATGAGAATCTTTCCCGCGTACAATGTATCCATTGCTATCATTTTTATTTTTTTGGGTAGAAGATTTCGTGGAAAGATGGCTGAATTCCACGGGTAAACACTGAGCTGAATGGCTATTCATCACGGGCAATATATCAAAGGTCTTTGAAGTAACAAAAGAGGCAAGGAGCACTGTACAAGGTGTGGCCTGGGTTAGGGGCGAGGCAAATGTGCTAGATAGTCTATGACTCAAGTAGTACAATAAACACAAACACACACTCGCAGTGTAGATTTCATACGCAATATCATTTTGAGGTAAGTTTATTTATATTAGTCGTCTAATTCTCGTCCAAGAGTACTCACGGCAAAGAATTTTCAGAACCTTTCATTTTCCAAGAATGTCTTCATAGTCGATGCACGCGGGCTGCGCTACAAGCATGAGTAAGTTGTGCTAGGTTTCAATCAGCAAATTCACGTCTCAAGCGGGATAGATGTCCGCGCTGGCGACATTTTAATTTGTAGACCAATTTGGATAACATATCACTTCGCCACCCATCTGTAGCGTTGATAATTATGTCGTCAGATTTTTGGTAAGTAAAGCCGTAGAGCACACGATGATCTTCAAAGTGCAAAAACCTTTGTCAAAACGCAAATTTTAAGCATCTTCAAAATTGTATCCATACTGAGCGTCATCTTTTCTCTCTGTACTGATATCGCTCATGTCTCATCCAAATATTTGCCTTCTCAGTATCGTGCGCTTTGACTTTTATCCTCATGCGAGTATTTGTTTTGTCGTGGGCGTGCAGTTGAAGGCTAACTGAAACCAAAGGCGAAATAAATGTGAAGAGTTTCGTAGAAATCAGGATACAATAGGCCGTACTTGCAGGCTTGCCGAAAATTTTGTCAGAAAAGATGCTCTTCGCTGTGAAAATTTGATTTGGTAGGGAGCCCTGAACCTATGCCATATAGGCTATCTTCTTCGATATTGCGACATTAGACTGAACTCGGTTCTAAGATGAAATTTCATTCTAAGTCTCGAAAAGTAAGCCACTATCAACTATTGAGTCTCTATGTGCCCATTACATTTTTTAAGGAGAGTTAGGAAAAGGGAATTTTACCCCTTTGTGCGATAAAAAGTGAAATAGTGGCCGATGCAGCTGGCAGGCCGTAGTAGGGCTGAGGTATCTAAGTTAGACCTCATGGTGTGTTTGTTTATGGTATTACTTGAGTCATAGACTATCTAGCACATTGGGCTCGCCCCTAACCCAGGCCACACCTTGTACAGTGCTCCTTGCCTCTTTTGTTACTTCAAAGACCTTTGATATATTGCCCGTGATGAATAGCCATTCAGCTCAGTATTTACCCGTGGAATTCAGCCACCTTTCCACGAAATCTCCTACCCAAAAAAAATGGTAGCAATGGTTACAGTGTGCACGGGAAAGATTCTCATAAACTTTGTAAACTCAGCCAGACGAGGCCTACACACCGGGACCTAGACACCGGGACCTAGACACCGGGACCGCATGAGGTGCGCATATTTATCTTTATCTCCCTTCTTTGCAACATTGAAGGCCGATTTGATCCAATCCACCATCTCCATATCAGGTGCTGGGTACGCTCTGGAAACTCATCGGATGGCTTTTCTTCCATGATCAAGGGTTGGGGATGAGTAGGGCTTCGACCCTACCATCTGATCTGATCGTAGTTAGCTTCATGACAATGATGATAGGTGGATGTGCTTAGGGATGAAGACGATACAGACAACGAGAGCGATTGAGAATCATCATCGAAGTGAGGACGTTGTTACTCAATCTCGGCTCTGCAGACTCTACAGTGAAAGCTGGAGGTTTATAGGGGATACCACTGGCAGGCGTAGATAATAGTCCCCCTAGACCTCAAGGTTATTTTAAGACAAGTTCAATGCTCTGAGTTTGAAGCTATATCTGTAATAAAAAGTAATTTCTCATTTATGTATTATTTTATATTTTTCCAAATTACAGTAACGGACATTGTAGTTATTACTTTTTGTTTTATTTGGTTTTTTACTGTCCCCTTGAGTCTATTACTATATCAGGACATGTAGGTCATGCCAGCTACGGTAGATTCCCCGCTTTCCAGCTGCATCGATATGATAGCTCTGTATTGTCTGCGAAACTGAGATAGCCAAGAGGCTTTACATCATACCCAACCAGTCTCGCGTTCTTTCTTGTCTTCATATCTCAGCATAACTCACGAGCACCATTATTATGAATCTAACCATGATCAAATTAGGTGGTCGGTTCGAAGCCCTGCTCGTCACAAACACTTGATAGTGGAGGGAAAACCATCCGATGAGTTTCCAGAGCGTACCCAGCACCCGATACAGCGATGGATGATTGGATCAAGATGGCCTCGAATGTTACAAAGAAGGGAGATCGAGATGAATATGAGCACCTCATGTGGTCCCGGTGTCTAGGCCTCGCCTGGCTAGAGCTGCGGGCTTTGTGAGACATTTTCACGCGCACGCAGTTTCCATTGCTACCAAACCTTCCGCAGAAGAGAATGCTGAGTTCTATTGACAAAAACTGAGTCTAATGACTTTACATATGGGTAATATTAGAAATCTTTTAGGTGCCAAAAGAAGATAAGAGCACTGTACAAGCTGTGTCCTGGCCTAGAGAGAAGCTCAATGTGCTAGATTTGTAAAGTCTCAGGTAGCTAAATTAAAACCGCAAACCCAACTATCTATTAGCCCATGCAAAGGTTTTCTTGGCGAATAGTCAGAGGGCTCGGTGTGTTTCGGGCAGTCTCGGGTCGGAACTTCCGATCTGTAATTATACGATCCAAAGTCTTTTCCAATTACTAAAATTAACCCCACATGCAGCCTATACGGATTACCTTCATCTGGCATACCTACATCTACATTAGTCAAAATTTCCAGATGCTTAGGACTTTAGACCGCTGAGTGTCACAAATAGGTAAATATGTGAACGAGTCAGAACCCAGGTGATCAGCTCGAAGCGTATTCAGTGAACCCGGAAAAAGGCTCGATGAATCATCCACCGACCTTTATGCGCGAGATCGCCTTTGATTTAGAAAGACCTTGGCGGAAAGAAAGGGCCCCTGCTATTTGCGTGGCTAATCTAGTTATCTAGCAGTTTAATTTACCTGCACGAGGGAGCTTCTTTTGATGGTGATGAGTCTTTCGGTCTACTGATCAGAGTGGTTGCTGGATCTCGTCTAAAACACGGAGGCAGAGGATTTACATATGATCGACTGACAGGCAAGAGAGGTGCAACCTGATCTGAACTGGCATAGTGCCGCCACGACAAACATTTACTATCTCAGATGAATGTGCTGGCTGAATCCTAGTCGGCCTGCAACGAGTTGTAGACTCGGTCGTCAGTCAATGTGGATGTATAATCAACTAGCGAGCAGCAAAACTGCCGAACCAAAGGGCCGGGTCTATCAGGCCCCTGAATTCCGTCTCCAATTACTAAGCCCAGTTGCATCGGAAGTGCGCTCAAGAGCCTGCCAAACCGCAAACGCTGTTATCGCCCCGAATTTTCTGGAGTGTCATAGTGGTAATTTTCACGTGGCAGGTACCTGCTTGATGAGGAATCTTTCAGTCACTTCTACATATGTAATCCAGATATGTTTGAGATTCTGTCAATTAATCCTGAAAACTCGAAGATCATTATTTCCACGACAATCTCGAAGTAAATCATCCTACCCATAATTGTTATTACTGAAGCTTCTTTTGTTTAGCCCCTTCTTCGTCCGACACAAGTTGACTGATCAGCGACTCAAGGGAGCTCCAAACTCTGGACTCAAGTCTCGTCCGATGAGTTGGGGCGAAATTCTCAGCGATGGAAGGAAAAAGACCAGGTGAAAACGATATACGTCAGATCATTGTGTAAGACTTGGGACCAGACGACTCGGAGGGTATGGATCGTCCCACATTGTCTCTTCATCCTAAATTCCATTAATTCAAGACATCAAACCAATACTGAAACTCCAACTTCAAACTTCTAGTGCAGTTGTGATGGGCCCCAGGTTTCCAGGGTGGCCAATGGCGCCTCGAACACTGCCTCCTTATCCACGTCAATCCACACTCTCCTGCTGTAAAATCCCACCGCAAAGAAATATAAGTCACGTCAAATCTTCTGATGGTTTACTTTCTTACCAAACCAAATATTAACTTCTGCCAGCCATCATCATCTTTGTCTGTCCAATCGTCAAAAAAAAATCCGCCTTATTCCGTCACACAGCTCAGTTCACATTTTCCGTCAGCGTTAGACACCGGTTATCACTTCCTCACCTATCTAATAGTTTTTAACAAATTTAACAGGTCGCTATCAACAATTGATTCAGAGCTAGCACAACAACCCTTAAAGCACCTAAAAGCATCTTCCGACGCTTCTACGCTGTCCTGAGCTCCTTACTACTCAACAACTTCATTCTTCGTCTTCTCTTTCTACAATGGGTCAAGCATTTAGCGGTCCAAATGCCTTCAAATGGCTCAACTTCACGCCAAAAGCTACAGCTGTCATTCAAGCATCACCATTTCTTCTAGTCTCCCTATTTCTCACCCTTATTGGCTTACAGTTTCTGGGTCTTCTGGGTTACTACATCCACTACGAGACCAGTAAAGCATACAAGAAGCCCAAATCAGCTTCGACGTAACATTGAGATTGACTAATTCATCGTATCTAAGACTTACAATATCTAGAAGCGATACCTAACTGTCGCAGAGAGTCACATTAGTCTCGTGCCCGTTCTAGAAAGAGACCTAATTTAGCGAGCCATCTCGTTGCTCTAATAGCTTTAGTGAGGAAAAGTGTCCACTTAGACATGATGCTTGAGTCGTGCGGGCCACAGACTCTCTTGGCAATACAAATATCCCGGAACTCATCAAGAACCAAGCAGTGTCTGGTGTATGGTGTTAGGTTGGAGTTTTTACCGGGAGCTAGCATTATTCGGCTATAGCGCTATTTCGACTTTGAGTCATTTCTTCTTCTTATTCTCTGACACCTCGATCAATCAGAGGACTTTATACCAATATATATTTATAACATTAAAACTACTCTATTAATCTACCATATATGTGTCTCAATCTTGTAGAAAATGCTTTCAAACAATCAATTAGTGAACTAATGCGTCGGCGATGAATAGGCCTTTCATTTTGGATCATTCTGCCACTAAATACTAGTTCCGAGCAATGTGGCTCGGCGGTACGAGATAGATCTGTGTTTGAGACTATATAGCACGGACGCTCATCCTAGTCAGTATGAGTCAAGGCTCACCGATGAAAAACTGAGGAGACCTTGGTTCTAATTTACCAACGTATGTGGCCTAACCGTAAGGAGAGCCAAGGCGCTTAGATGGTAAAAACGTGATCTAAAGTCTGTCCATTTTGGCCCACCCGAAACTTCGACGCACCCTTATTGAGTGGCAGGGATGTCTCGGGGTCCGGCGATCTCAATGCCGTAACCGCTGCGGGCGAGCTAGTGGAGTGAGACTGTGTCATGTTGTGGCTACTAATTCCAGGAGAAAAGATAGACTGGGCCGGATGGTGCAGTGGTACAACATCAGGGTTGGACTTGCTGGAAGCCAGAGTATCACAAGTAATTTTCACCTTAAGATGGGGAATTTCAGGTTAGATTCAGCAAGAGTCGAACATAAAACAGTCGGCGCTTACACCTTTGGGAAATTAGTATATTTTTAAATTGTTGTTTGTATATTAAAAAGCTGAGTAACTCGCACCTTTCACACTTCGGGGGTAGTTTGTTTACGAATTTGCCTGGGCTAGATCAGGTCAGCTACTATTTAGTACATATACCCCATTCCACCTGAATAACCGGAAATCCTGATATCACCCATGTATTAGGTGACGACAGATCTGACTATCCAGAAAAGCCAATAGGTGCATGCCGAGGCGCACATTTCTTAGACTCTGACACGCTCACGCTCTTGAATCTGTCTCATTTTTCCAGTCTCGCTCATACCTCGTCCCATCATCTTCTCTTCTCATCCAGGGGTCGTTTTACTCGCTGAAGGCTTCATCCAGTCAACCACTGGAGCCTCCTCGATTGCTTCCTCTTCTTATTTTATCCGCCAATCTCTTTATTTTGGAAATATGACTGCTTTCGCATCCTCTAGCCTTGCCCCGTCGCTGCCATTCCCCTAGCAATAAAGATTGAAAATTTGTTGAAGAGCTTAGGACTGAGGCACGGAAGGGCTGTTCTTCCGTGCTATGATTGATTTGCTGACAAAATATCGTGGCTATTTCGTGGGGAAAAATCTTATGGCAAAATGCAAGAGGGCAGAACTCTGTAGTTATTGTCGTTCGAATAGGAGACAGTCTTGAGCCTGCTATTTGTTCGCATTTGGGCTGAGGGCGATGGAATATTTTTTTAAATTATTGGCTTTTTTACTCTAGTTTCGCAGTATATGACTACATAGAACATGCAGGCCCTTCCTTCCTACAGGCCAAGGATACCAGTCTACTGGTATATCCCTTCCTATGCCTCCCTCACAGCTCCCGTCAAACAGTGCCGCCCGTCTCAAGTCCCACATTCGACCATATACTTAAATCAGCTCTAGAAACCCATAGAAATTGTGGGTAAAAGACTACCTGTTTTACTTGGTTTGTGAAATGGGAATGTACACTTGCGCTGGAACAGCTAAGACAGTATGTGGAGAGATGTCTTCATTAATGTGCAGAAGTGAAGTGACTATGATAATTGTTATATTACAGATTGGGGGAAGCTCGTCCCTTATCCCCTAGCTTGTTCGTTTGTAGACCGATCACGCTACCAGTATGCAGCTCACCAAAGTGTGCAACCAACTAAGCAGCCATGCCATTTGTCCTACATCAACAACCCATCTCTCGTAATGCACACATTACTACATGTAATGTCGTTATATAGAGACTGGATCTCCTCCATGCGCCATAACGCCATGCTGCCATAATAACTACCTATGCACCAGCTACTAGATCTACCATCCTACATAGCTGAGCATAACACTACCTCTTTCAACTCTCTAGATGATAACATCCCAATATCAAGTCCTTCATACACTCATTTCCAAGACATACCCGGCCCAGCACGTCTCGCTTATTTTCTCTCGAACTTTGATTCCTTCACTGAAAATTTATGCACAGAAACCCAAGTTTTGCATCCTCCAATGATTCTGCACCAACGACAGTGTCGCATAAGAGGTTCACGGGATTTGATGTGGCTTTTCTGGCATGAAATAGGGAGAAATTGAAAATTATTCGCTTACACAGAGGAGGTGCAATGTTCAGGATGAACTAATATCGTCTTGAATGGTCTTGATAATTCTCTTCGTGATTTTTGTAGTTGACAAATCTCCGCAATCCGGGAGCTCGGACTAAACGTGGCCCAGCTCCGTTCCCTCTAACAAGAATCTCAATTAGGATAAATTCAATTCGACTGTTAGGAAACGACTATATCTTGGCTGCGAGAGAATGTTTCACTCACATGTTCATGAGAAATGCTACGGATGGACGTCGAATCTCGGCGGCCCTTGTGATGAGTGCAGCTGTGACACCTCAGCGGGTCAGGTTTTCGACTAAAAACCTGCCCACGCCACTACTCCGAATCGCCACGTTGGAACTTCTCAGTCACACAACTCTCCGCGATTGAATCTCAGGCGCGAGCAACTTCTTAACGCCCAAGTATATAGAAGAGATGGGCCGTGGGTTTTCAGCCACTATCTTCCGGCAGATTTGGAAATTCTACGGAATTGAAAATTACCCTACATGGGTACTTCTAGAGGCCTACAGCTGCTAAATATGCAACCACGCCTTCCACGGCAATACTCGCAACCAAATTGCAGTTTAAGAGAGTCTCTATATTGAGTGGCGCGGTTTAACCTGCATCTTAGACTCTCATTACGTGTCATAGCTCTCTTGATATATCATTTAAGGTTGAAGATGTGGCCTCAAGGACCGCTTATCCCGACATATACTTTTCTCTGTCCTTTGTCAAAGTGGAGACAAAGCAGACAAGTCTCGCGACTTGTCCCGAATATAAGTAAAGCAAGACGGGGCAAGTTATCCTAGATTGACGTATCCAGCTCGACTCGCACTGCATCATTGACTAGTCAGGGCCCGCATGATACCAAGTGACACCAGTCCCTCTGGCCACCTGCACTCATCCGCCTTCAACCTCACGCTGAAGATGGATGTCTTGATGAATCAAGAGGACAACGTGAGTCTATATCGGATATCTGTTGTATCCGATAGAAGAAGCCTCGAAGACGTTCGAGCACGCCGAGGAGTAAAAGCGATACACGTGGTTGAACCCGATATCCCTAGGCTTTTCTTATAAATTAGCTAGGAATCAATAGACAATCTGATGAGTCTAATAGCCTTAAACTAAGCGCGAAATCGAAACACCAGCGTATTCAACCAATCGTCTGCTGCCAAGCTAATTTTTGCCGGACATTCTTCTCCTACGCCCTCCAGTCCGACGTAAACTTCTGAAAGAGTGATCATTGTTACTAGAGATTATACACTGCAATATATCATGTGATGGAAGATGAATGGAAGGAAAAGATGGCTATGTGTGTCCGATTGAGTTACGGCGAACTACACCTAAATCACCCTCCGACGGCTCTCGCAGATTTCCAATGCTCCATTTCCACCAATCAGAGTGTGGCGTTTCGCATCTGAGGAGGGCAAGGGCTAAAGGTCCGTCCACGATGTCTTCTGCGAGTCTGGGAATGATATGCTATCCTAAAGCCAAGATCAGTCAGATTTCGCAGTGCCGAAAATCTTAGCTTCCGAGGAAATGATGGGATAGTCCCAACCAAACCAAGTTCCCTTTTCAAGAAAGATCGTTTCCGACCAGAGCATTATCAAGTGTTCAAGTACGAACCAGTGCATCCTTTTTTTCAATGACCATACCTCTCGTCAAATTGGACCCTGGCCTCCATATACAAGTCCACACGTATATGAAATCCCGCCGGCGGACACAAATTGTGGTGCACAAATCTTGGGGGGGGAGATTTCCATGATGGGCGTGAGTATGTGTGTTTATTGTACTACTTTAGTCATAGACTATCTAGCACATTGGGCTCGTCTCTAATCCAAGCCACACCTTGTATAGTGCTCCTTGCCTCTTTTGTTACTTCAAAGATCTTTGATATATTGCCCGTGATGAATAGCCATTCAGCTCAGTATTTATCCGTGGAATTCAGCCACATCTTCCATGGAATCTTCTTTCCAAAGAAAAAGAAAAAATAAGGTAGCAATGGATACAGTGTACGCGGGAAAGATTCTCATAAACTTTGTAAACTCAGCCAGACGAGGCCTAGACACCAGGACCTAGACCCCGGGCCCACATGAGGTGCGCATATTCATCTATATCTCCCTTCTTAGTGACATTGGAGGCCATCTTGATCCAATCATCCATCGCTGTATCGGGTGCTGGGTACGCTCTGGAAACTCATCGGATAGCTTTTCCTCCATGGCCAAGAGTGGATGACGAGAAGGGCTTCGACCCTACCATCTGATCTGATCGTAGTTAGCTTCATGATAATGGTGACAGGGGAATGTGTTGAGAGATGAAGATGATACAGACTGAGGAAGTGATTGGGAATGCTCATCGAAGTGAGGACGTTGTTACTCAATCTCAGCGCTGTAGACTCTACAGTGAGAGCTAGAGGGTTGTAGGGGACACCACTGACAGGTGTAGAGAATAGTCCCCCGATGGGCGTGAGTAAGATTAGGACACGTGGACAATATGATGCAAACAGCAGATACAATCTCGAAATGGATGAGATTTAGAATTTTAGCATGGAATTTTGCAAATTGAAGAGTACTGTGCGCTCCATGACGTTGTTTGCTAGAGTATGAGTCATAACATAAACACTGCCATGGTAAGATGGCGCGGTGGTATATTATCTGGGTCGGCCTCCTAAGCACATTCTGAATAACTCAGATACGTATCCTACTTGAGACAGGAGATTTCTAGCTCAAGACTAGCAAAGCTTTACTGTATTTTTCTAAGTACTAGTGTGCATAGATGACGGAAGGTTGTGAGAATTTCCTTTGGCGGGTATCCACGTAGGAGGAAGGGATGTTTGTGCAAGCAAACATCCATTCTGGCGGTATTTTCAAACGAATTTTAAGGCATGAGCGTGTCTAACGTCAAGAAAATCGCCCAACATTTACACATAGCACTGATCATGTGTCGTTGCTGGAAAGCTGAATAAACATCAAATGATTAAAAAAAAGGAATGTTATATCTAGCAGAGTCTATCCCCAAACCCTCATATTCTCAATCACTTGTGTGGCATACAAGTCAAAGAGCAATGAATATCATAATATTATTCATCCATCTACATCATCTCAAACGGACCCAAGAGTATGATCTTTAAGATCAACTGTCAAATAAATATGAAACAGATATTGAAAGGACTAACCCAGAGACTAAGGAACTACTTGGATACTGAAGTAGTCTCTCATGGTCTGGGGCTTATGAGTGTCTTAAATTTAAGTCAATCAAGCGGACCCGATTTCATACTAAAATATCCCCTTAAACAAATTGTAGGTATGAATTGATTATATGATTTGGATGATATGCTGAGACTGCTAATTGTGTTTCATGAATCTTTATTTCTTCCGTAAACTGTAAGAATTAGTGAAGGGTAGGAAACTATGAATCCTCGGGCTACCCTGACGTGCCGTCATTAACCAGCCAAGTAACAGTCCGAGAGATATTGGCCTCATCGGCTTCTTGTGCCGCATCGAGGAGGTGCAGGGGCACCTTCAACGTACTCAGTCGGAACCTTGAGCGTACGCATTGCGCAGATGATGATCAAGGGTATTATCAGCATTTAGTGAAGATAACAATTGGACGTCGATGAATATCCCGAGCGAATTTCAACTTCACACCAGGGATTTGAAAAGAAAAGGCATGATGACGCAGAAACAAACTGATTTAGATCAACTGAAAAGACTCCCAAAAACAACGAGTTCAGACGAAGAAGAAAGAACAAACCGTGAAGCTCGATATCTGGGTAGGTCATATTTTGCGCATCTTTTAATCGAGACAATCAAGGGGTACAGATACACCACGCCTGCCGGCGCCGTCTCCTATGATCCCTCGGATTTTGTGCAAAAAATGGCAAGATCAGAGCGTGGCATATACCATCTCAACTGTGAGCGGAGCCATATTTCTCTCCTTTAAAGATACGACTCGAATGATATCCAAGATCACGACGATGATAGCCGAGAGGAGAGGTTCCATTGTGTAGAACGTGATAATGATGGTTGAGGAGCTTCTATCACAACCTTGGGTTTGTCATGTAAGGCGAATAATCGATAGATTTGGGAGGCCAGGAATGAATGAGAGGCACGCATGGCTTAGCACAGATCAACTGCGCTCGGCTGTCCGGCCTCTATAAATACGCTAGAAGGGCAATATTGTCTCTGGATCTAGTCCTGAGACCGGTCTTAGCTGGGCCTTATACTCGGTCGTTCCTGCAAGATTCGTTGGCTACCATGGCCCGGAAAGACAATTGTCTCACTGCCCAGAGTAGGTGAGTTATGAAGTGCTGAGAGCTCAACCCAGTGTATGATAGAATAAAGACTGTTTTAGATTGTAATTGTTGGGTGGGAGCCGTAAATGAGGCATGGGTTCCATGGTCGATAGACAAATAAATATTTAAATTATAGAAAATTTAACTGGGCACGAAACCTTCGCTATACTGAGAATAGATTTGGTGAAGGGGCGTGCAGAATTTTCTTTTTGGGCTTATTCAAGCTCGGGAATCCAAATTGCACAGGGTCGCGGAAGTCGAAACAGGGGACAGAGTCGACCCTCTTCCCGACAACCTGGAGCTCAGGCTAAGTGTAAGACCAAGGCTATTGCATGTATTCGAAGCTATCCGAGGGTATCACGGGTACGGCTGGTCTGTGTGAATGCGAGCCCAGTCCACTGCCGTGTAGAGGCACGGCAGGGAAAACTCTCCGAACCGTAGGCAGTCTCATTTTGCCGGCCTCATCTCATTCTAGAAGGAAGCCGTGCGGTGCTTGAGTTTCATTGGATCCATGGGAGTAGCGACTTGCTTTTAGGAGCGGGGAGGGGGACACCTTCAAAGTTCCGTGGTGTGTCTTCGGGTTTCAGCCGGCTCGCAATTTAACTAGTCTGACCCCGCCCCGCCCCGGCCCGACGAGCCTCAGGTCATGTGATTCCAAACTAGGTTCATTGTCGCATCTTTCCCGGGAAAAAGAAGAGTAGTTCTGGCGAGATGATAAATGGCAGACGTAGATATTGCTGGGCAGTTATCTGGCGGCTCGTCAAACGTCGCGAAGCTGGGGTCGGACGGAATCGACTAATGGCGCAGGGATAGCATCGGGGGAGAAAGAGCCATCGTCTATGCGGAAATTGGTGGCCAGCCAAGTCTAATCAGCGGCTTATCGCGGACGGGCTAGGGGAAGGGAGAGGATCGACTGGTGCTACACGCTCCCCTCTGACCCCCGGCTGATGCTGTCGCGTAACGTGCGACTCTAGCCAGGTCTGGGTACGTAGAGCGCGGCACCTGCGTTGGACAATGTGAGTATTGACGTCATGGCACATTTCAATAGCCTAGTCACGTTTCTCGAATCAGCCTCGCCCGAGTATGCGGGTCATTTGATAGTCATCATCCTAGCCACGATCGTTGGATGGAGTTAATCAAATAGCCTGATAGGGCGCTTCTTCCTATACCTAAACCAACACCTGAATAAGTGAGACAATTCTGATATTTTAGACTCTAGACTTTTCCCGCTACTTTCACTTGAAACCATAGCGATATCCCCCGTTCTCTTACCACTCATACTTCTAGGCCGGTCTTGCCATTCAACACCATCGCATCTATGGCCCTGCTCGTAAGGCATCCCAGAATAAACAGGCATGGTGATGAATTGGCTTTGCTTGCCTATCAGCGATTGGCGTGCTAGTGGAAAATCGACCGAGTTTCCGTATAGTGACTGAAGCAGACTTCCAGATTCCTAAACACGCCGCATCTCTCTTCAGACTTGTATGTCCCATTGACGTCGAAAGTGATGCAGGGAATGCTGTTCACTTTGGTATCCAATGCAACTTTTACCAATTGAGCGAAGGGATTATGTAAATGAACACGAACACGTCACTAATTACCTATTAAACTCTCACTTATAATTATTTTTGAGATCATCAGTGAACTATGGAACCCTCCAAATTGCACAAGCTGTAGGCATCTCCTCGTCATCCGTAAAATCGTTATTCATAGAATCAATCCATGCGAGCTCCATATCCATGGCATCCTCTTCAATCCGAGCCATGAGATTCAACTCCGTTATCATACCCTTCAGTATTCTTTGTACGCGCACCATCACTAGGCCAATGCTCGATCCACTATCAGGTAGGCCCAAGTCTCTCATCTTTTCAGTCCAGTTTTCAAGTTTGTGGTGCAATAAGAGACAATCATCTTTCCATAAAGATTCCAGCTTCTCTATAAACAAATTTTGCTCATCGATCTTCCCATCGCCTTGAGAGCGGCTCTGGAGAGTTTCCTGACATTGCTTGACCCATCGCTCGAATCTTCGCACGACCTTAGAGTACTTTCCTCCTACTTCCCCAAGGTTCCAAATGCCGGTAAGGAGTTCGTCTAGCACTTGTATCTTATCATCTACAGACCATCCAGGAGTACCCATGTTTTGCCACCGATCCAATGCGGCGGCGTTCACCCTAGCAACAGCTTGCGTCTCGAGCTGCTCATTTGTAGCCTTTTTTTTTACGACAGCGTCGAATTGACCTTTCAGTGTCTCTTTTGCACTCGTACGCCATTCTTGTATTACGTGCTCCACATCTTGATGCAATAGATGTAATTGTAGTAGCTCATTCTGAAGTTTTGCTGTCTCTGCAGAAATGGCTTTATTTGCAGGTCGTTTGCTGGGGGTTGGCGGTGCGAGAAAGACGGCAGGATGAGGCTTGGGAGCTAGATTTTTAGCAGGTGAAAAGTGCTGCTGGTGTGTATTGAATGCTGGTTTCTTGAGAAAGACATCGGAGCCTAATGCTTGGTATGGCTTGAAGCTATCATTAGAGCCTCGAATAGATGGTCTGGATGTCACTGAGGTCACGCACGTTGATGTTGATAGGGCGCGGCCATGGGATGACTGTCGTGACGTGGATGCGCTTGTCGAAGCTGTGAGAACATGGCGAGATGTTGTAATTGGAGGTTTTGACCGGTCTTTCTTAGCCAGATCATTGTCGGCGGGGAGAAGATTTCGTTGCGATACCGATCTTGGTCGCCCCGTGCCTATAGGTTTTGGCGCTGCTGGGACACTGACTCGCGTAGGACGAGAGCGAGCCTGATTGCGCGAGGGGCTTGTTGGTCGTGAAGATCTACGTGTTAGTTTGACCGGCAAACGGCTCGGAGACAGACTGGTGGTAGGATTTTCAGGTCGCGCTGTTCCTGACGTAGATGAAGTTGTGCTGACGGTGGCCGCACTAGGCATGGCTTCGGCAGAAGCTGCATGTAGATTTATTTTGCGCAGAGAAGGACTCCGAGCGGCCATGATCCAGAAGATATACTTGATTCAGATGAATGAGCACGGCGTAAAGAAGTTGACCATGGGTAGATCAGTGTTCCTTGGAGGTTCAAGTTTCGTTTGTTCGCAACACCGGCCCTGCGGATATCTTCCTAACCGTAAAGGGTAGTTGTTCGGGGGAGAGGGTGTCGCCAAAAATTTCCTGAGTGTAGTTTATGCATCCGATCAAGCCGGATCTCTGGTGGAAGACGGGAAGGGAAACATTGAGGGAAAACGAGGGGAAAAAGATAAGGAAATGTGCAACAGGGCACGGTCACACACTCAAAGACAACAGGATACATGTGCCTTCCGATTAATCAATTCCAACACTCGCTGCGCAATGAATGGGTGAGACCACTAATGGGATAGGAAGCCAAACAATTCATTATCTAAAATCAGTCATTTTTCCTCTAGTGCCACTCACATCTTAGCGACCCCCCTCCAGAATGTGGAGGAGAGAAACGAGGTCTCAGGAGAACGGGCGGGCCTCGATCAATTCCTTCAGTTCGATTTCAGGATAAAGACTCGTAGATGGCCGGCTGCTATGGTCTTGAGCATAACCAACAATATCGATGCTGCAATCTATATCACGTCCAATCCTGATACCATTTCAGCTCCCGTTCTTGTTCCTAAAACTATCACTACTATTAATACACTTTTGTTTTTACAACTACTATAGACCATCACAAACTATTACTACAACTACGGCGATAAACGCCATCATCGCCAAGATCGTCACCATCACTCTCACACACCACGCTGGCGTACGGCGTCTATGTTCTTCTCTACGCCCTCTGAGATCCCCACCCGTAAGCCTTCACGCCTACTCAAGGTGCACCCGCGTCCACCTGCCACCGATTCGGACATGGGGGAAGCAAGGCGTGGAAAGCCGTCTCTGGTCACGCCGTCAAGATCCTCTAGGTCTCCACTACCCCGACTCCCCATGATCCTCCTCCGATCATCACAGAACAACGTGTCTAGTTCTTCGTCTTCCGAAGAAGATGCTCCGCACCGCTCACAGAGTCGGGCGAGTACTCGTGTCTGCGTGGAGAGAAAGAAAAAAGCCGCGCCCTTTCACTCCAAGTTGAATGCAGAAGCTCGTCCTCCGGCCTCTCCTACCAAAGATAAACTCAAGGTGAGATGATTTCTCTCTTCTTCGTCTACTCTGCTCTGTAACACATCAATTTTCTTCTTTTCCATCTTCTTGCTCCTTGGCGCTGCTTCCATTGTCGGCGGCTCAATGCGGATTATTGTACACCCGCTATTCCGACACCGTTCCCTGTTCAACCGGAACAGGTGTCATCGCGTCCTCACCAAGGTGTCTCGTCTAGTGGCCATCGCGTCATGCGTCACCCGAAGAATTATTGACCATATCCTAGATCTCTAGCCGTTCTTCTTCGCGAAACAAGCAGTCCCTCCCGGCCCATCAGCAGCAACCACCCCGAAGCAGCGCTCACTCCCAGCCGGCGCCCTCTAGCTCCACACCCACGCCGCCACCAGACTTCATGGGTAACAAGCTCGCAAGGTTGAAGAATAAGGGCTTCGGTAATTCCGATCAACCCGAAGGTTCAGAGAAACTTTATTCGTCAAAAGCACGCACCTTCACTCGTTTTCCCGGTCGTCCCAAGCCGCCGTTGTCGCCGCCCCCGCCTCACCTGTCCCCATCCACCGCTACAAAATTACACAGCCACCCCAGCAAACCCCTAGCCGCTATTCCGCCCTTTCTCTCTGTTGTATCGCCCTCCCCAGCCCCTAGTACTGTCACTGTGGTCGCGTCGTCACCATCATCTGAATCAACTGCGCAAGAAAATTCTCGGCCCGCCCCAGCCGAGCGGCGCGAGCCACGACTAAGGTCAGAAGCCTCTTCCCCAGCACCCCAACGTGGAGAGAACGGCGCTGTTCGGCTTCCGTTTCGCTCCCAATCTCCTCTCACTACCACAGCCAACACTTCGGCCGGCGACGAAATTGTGTGCGCGGGACCGCCACTAGATATCGTACAATTAGAGTGCTACCACAACCACCGCTCGATGCGTAATTCTCCTAACAAACGGTATCCCGTTGCCTGCATGGTTTGCCAAAAGATGGATACTGAACCGCGCTGGCGCTGTACCTGGTGCTGCTTAAGCACCTGTCGCGTTTGCCTCGGCGAGCTCCACGCTACACCACATCACAACTTGCGCACCTGCCTTGCCCAACAGGCGTCACGAAAAGCGATATGATCATGGGCCTTACCCTACCGTCGCCTCCCGTTTCCTGTGCGGTGACATATCTCGTGCGCATCCGCCTTTCTAGACAGTCATAACGGAAGACATAAAGAAAGTCTATAAGCTTATTCTCTGACTACGAATCTTTCTTACCATAATTCCACTCTGGGTTTTCGTTTCTTTTCTTTCTCGCACTCCCTTACACAATACCTTTTGCCAAAATTAAACTATTAATGGCGATAATTTCGTACAATTTGCGACCAACATCATGTAATCTACTATTTAAATAAAGGGAATTATGGAGCAGGAACTAATACCTTGGTTGAAGGGTTGCACACTGAAATAGTGGGATTAATGACGAATATTTGCTGAAATGCACAGGAAAATTTTCAGATAAATGTTTTCTTAGCACTGATGACGTAGGGCAAGGATACAAATGCACAAAGCGAAATATGTAGACTCTTCAAAATTCCAGCTAGCCCTAAGCCCCTCCATTGTCTAAATTGCTCGCCAACTTCCTTGACATCTCTATGCGTGCTGCGTTAAAAAATGGAAGTAGCTCTTGTTCTTATGGCCTATGATCAGTTATGGTAGAGAAGTGTAGCATCGCTAAATAACTCCGAATTGGGTGCCATGTCAGTCCTCTGACGTGACATCTAATTCATCAGTCCATGACTAAGACGAATGCTACCCACAAGTTCGTTATTTTCTTGCACGAACTAGAGACTTCCCCTCCGTGGGAACAAGACGCCCTCTACGGCAGCATTGTCGCAGAACCAGCTGCAGCGCACACCTGCAGCTTCATTTACCAAGGCACACGGCGATTTTAAGTTTTCATCGAAAATCTCCTTCAGAATATTACGCTTTGAGCTGCCCATGGCAACAAAGGCGACCTTGAGACCATGAGTCACGACAGGAAGACTGAGTGTAATTCTCTTTGGTGGTGGTTTTGGAGAGTCGTCGATAGGGGCTACCCAAGCCTGAGATTCGCGAAGTAGTTCGTGCCCGGGGAAAAGGCTGCAGGTGTGGCCGTCCGGTCCGCATCCTAGAAGGATAAGGTCGAATATGGGCAATTTAACGCTGTTACGAGACGCAAAGCTCTGTACCAATACCTTTTCATATTGATCCGCAAGCTCTTGCACATCTTCCAGAAGATCTGCGTTGATAGGGTGAACGATAGGCTGTCCTAGACTCTCAGGAATCTTGTCCAAAAGTTCTGTCTTCAATAAACCATAGTTTGAGTCAGGGTGGTCGAGGGGCACGGCACGCTCATCAGCAAAAAAGATTTCCCATTTGGAAAATTCAACTGTATCTGCGGATGTAGTTGGTGGTGCCAGTATTGCCTTTGCCAACATTTGTGGAAGTGAGCCACCAGATACAGCTATCTTGAAGCACTGGTGACGGCGTAGACCTGCATTCTGACATTGTATAATATAGGTCCGGAGTGAAGTAGCTAGGCTATCGGCGTCAGAAAATGCAAAAAGGTTTGGCTGGCCGGTCATATTGAGACAGATTTGTGGCCCAGGCTAAAGCTGATGAAGTGTAATGATGGACCTGTTATAACGAGCCTCGCAGGAGAGTCAGAGGATGTTTAAGTGAAATGCACAAAGAGCCGCTTGGATACGAACAGAGACTATACAGATGATAGATTCCTCCTAGAGGTACGCGATAGATATGCAGTGGCAACGGTGACGAATGGTAGTAGACTCGGATGAATAGCTGAGTAATATTCCCCGAATATTGTTCGGGAGTGTCTGGGGTAGTTTAATCTCTCTAAAGAATTGAAGAGAGATAGCAGGGCAGGATGACTGTGGGAATTGAAGATAAATGATTGTGGGACAAAATAAATGCGTAGATAATTGGGGACTGTGACGTTTGCATCGGAATGTTTTAACGTTTGGGGGAGGGGAAGAGGAAGGATCTATCACGGTGTTACGGGGATCAGGGGCGTTAAATGAGTTTGGAGGGGCTAGAGGAGTTCATAGGAGGGAAATGTCGCGTACCTTGCCCATCTGAATTGGGAGCAACTCTAACAATCCTACGAGCTACTTAGAGAATTCAGTTGCTAGCTATATATGACGCATTGGAGGTCACTATCGCCACTGAACAAGATGGTATGAAAATAAAGGCAGATAGGATAGTAGTGCGCCTCTGGATGGTAGAGGGAGAAATTTAAATTGTGACCATTCACCATCCTCCCATTCGAAGAACCCACATGAGCGCCTTGATGTTTATGAGAGGCGGTCACCTTCTCTCCAAGCATTGAAATCTATGGTTAATTTACTACACTGCATGTAGCCTTTGAGCAAAATAAAGATACTTCATATAATCACAATCAGAAGCTGCAATGTTGAGCTTCCATGCACCGCCTAGCCAGCTCCGGCAAGGCTGAGACAATAGGTTAAACCCGGCCGGACACTTAGGCTACGTCATCCATAATGAGTCATTTTTGCCTTTGCTGAATCCTTTTCTAGCGACGAAGTGGATCCATAGACGTGATTTGGATCGTCGTTCACTTGATTCCAGGCGACTAAAAAAATGCATAGTCAGTTACTCAAAACAGAGTCAGCTTGATCACGTTGAAAACATATGAAAAGCTCAGAATATCTGTAACGCGGTAAATAGGTGTAGACTAGAATCATAGAAGGATTCTGTGGGGGTTAATATTTTTATTTTTCTACAGGATGAGCACAACAACATCGAGCCCCTCGAGCATGTCATAATAAATGGCGATGAGCCGTCTGCCACAACTGCCACAGCTTATCATCGCCATCTCCCCGGTCGATCCCGCACACAACAGCCACAAAACGCCTTTTCGCTTAACAATTCTCATCACCAAGCCCGACCTTTTTGGAGTGGGGTCTATCCGCGATCACAATCCAACTCACAGATAGTGCTACATTCTCCTCGTAATTAATCCAACAGCCTCATGCCACTCGAGTGATCTGCCAACTAGCGCCGGTAGATCTCAATTTTCGACCCCTTGATGGTCGTCTAGATGAATCGATGTGAGCTGCGTGCGTGGCTAGTAAAGAATATGACACGAAAAGAAGCCTGATACGGATGAAATACTCACTTGGATTTGGACTAAGTCGTTCAGCTGCACACATTGGGTGGTACCCTACCTCCAGAGCCAACTCGATATTTATCCATAGGCAGCCCACAAAATTGCCATAACGCAAATAATGCCTCTTATTCCGGATGATACATTAAGGACAATCAGTACCACATTAAATACATGTTGTTGAAAGAAAGCATAGAGATTAAGAAATTCTGTATGAATGGGGCTTAATTGAGATTATGCCCATTATGGACAATTCATGTGCACAGACTAGCACTATGCGGGCACCCTTATTGTCAAAGCCCACTGTCAACTACATAATTTCATTAACAAAATAGCATAGATTCTGTATCACGTTGTAACTTCATGCCTGTACTATTCGAGTGACACTAATCTATGGAGGTTTTCTCGCAGAAAATATTAGATAGCAAATAACATCCAATTCAAAAGGGGAAGGTGTTGCATTAGGCTACAAACAGTTATCTGTACGCAAACGAAGGTATTGAGAAGTTTGTTTTCATCACAATGTTGCGCAACCTTCACTCAACACATCATCTTACATGAGACACATACCCGACTAGATACTACTGCATGCCTGGATCTCATATAATTATAGCGCCTAGGTTGAAGTTAGCAATTAGATCAATGTGCATAGATAGTTTGTTACTAGCAGTGATGGTATACAGAGATACAGAATATTTTTAATGCTGATTTTTCGCGTGTTTGATTGACAGAGATCAGCCGGGGCTCAACGCTTTACCCACGGTTACAACCTATCTGATCTTCACACTGATTAAGACGCATTACCGTTAAATAACACTTGATCTATCGCATGAATTATGACAATTATCGTGCTCAGTTGAGGAATAGGGGTTGAAATTTAACATATTTATTAGTTAGAGTCTTGTTGAACGAGCAAAATTTCGAAAATCAGGTCTAAGCAAGTCCGATTGGGCATTTTTAGTACTCCAATCATTTAGTCCTTCACTGAAGCTGATTCCACATCTCCACAACCGGGCGTTGGATAGACATCACTACAAATACTGTAATGACTAATTACAAGCATATCTACTTATTTTTTTTTGCATCAGATTTTAATTGCGTATGCAATTATCTAGCTATGACACGATATCAAAGAAAAGTACAGAAAAGATGACTAATTTTGAAAGAAGAGCACTCATGCCTCAGATTTCATTTGCAATTACCACTGCGAAGTTGTGGTGGCTTTTTCTTCATCCCAAGTCAACCCTCATCCGTGAATACCCACCCAGGGGAACATCTCAAAAACCCTGACTTATCCAGACATGCCTCCGTGATCCATCAACTTTTCTCCGCGCGAAATGTGATCTGAGGTGTCTCCTTCCCAAGTGGAGTAGGTACCCAGGCTACTCAAACTATACCATAGAACATCACCAGAAGGAGGACCACAACACCTTCCATCGGTTGCTTGTGTTTATAGTGTCAGCTGCACTCTCGCAGGCGCAGTCTTGGCACGCACAAAGCTCAATTCGTAAAACTGCTTGCCAAAATTCGGAATTTCACTCCCTTCAAGGTTATATCCTTCCTTTGCATCATCTTGTAAACTTGTCCTGATCCCTCTCATGTCCATCCCAAAGAACTGTCTCCCAGATTTGTGCGCCACACTTTGCTTCCTCCGTCGGGTGTAGATATCGGCGTGGGCGTGTATTTGGTGGTCGAGGCCAGAGAAAGTCGACGAGAGTTGTGGTCATTGGGTTGAGGATGTACTTGGTCGTACTTGTAGACTTGATGAAGCTTAGTTGAGAATCGGACTCTTTGGGAGTGAAAGATTGACGTGGTAGAGTAATTTGAATCATTGCCTCGTGGGCCAACTTCTTTGATTTTGTGGAATTGAACTGAGCTTGGCTCTGGGTGAATATTTCACTCCCAGTTTCGTAGAGGACACCGCGTATAGATGTTCAGTCTTGCCCTCCAAGCATATCTACTAAACCATTGAATGGTGTAAAGTAATTGATATAGCTCCATCAATCAAGGCGCCTTGAATGCAGCTCGCCAAGTATCGAAGTAGTTACGGCCATAGATCGGAAACTTTTCTCTACACCTATTAGTGGCGTCCCCTACAAACCTCCCACTCTCACCGTAAAGTCTATTGAGCCAAGATCGAGTAACAACGTCCTCACTTCGATGAGGTTCCCCAATCGCTTCCTCGGTCTGTATCGTCTTCATCTCTCAACATATGACTCTATTACCTCTGTCATGAAGCTAACCACGATTAGATCAGATTTCAGGGTCGAAGCCCTTCTCATCACCCACTCTTGGCCATGGAAGAAAAGCAATCCGATGAGTTTCCAGAGCGAACCAAGCACCCGATACAGCGATGGATGATTGGATCAAGATGGCCTCCAATGTTACTAAGAAGGGAGATATAGATGAATGTGCGCACCTCATGTGGTCCCCGCACCTTGGCCTCGTCTGGCTGGGGCTGCAGGTTTTTTGAGACTTTTTCCCGCGCACGCAGTTTCCATTGCTAACATTTTTATTTTTTTTTGGGATGGAGATTTCGTGGAAAGGTGGTTGAATTCCACGGGTAAACACCGAGCTGAATGGCTATTCATCACGGGCAATATATCAAAGATCTTTGAAGTAACAAAAGAGGCAAGGAGCACTCTACAAGGTGTGGCCTAGTTCAGGAAGCAGCCCGATATGCTAGATAGTCTATGACTCAAGTAGCACAATAAAGATAAACACACACACAAGGCCATAGATTCCACGTTATCAGGAAATACAACGCAATTTTTATGGTTGTGTGAAACCACTCATTCGTGACGTTGGATACCTCACAGTTCGAAACGTTTAAGCGGGGTTCTGTAGTGATTTCTCGCGGTCTGGTCTTCTGATGACCGTTCCACTTACCATATTGGTCTTCTAGTTGAAGATCTTAATGCTGGCTCAGCCAGCAAGGATTCTCGGCGACTCCATTATTTTGAAAAACGTGGCATCACCGCGTGCCAATTTATCTTTTTGTTACTGGTTAATCATTTTCCGGGAAGGGTAATCTTAAGTCGGTTGGTCCCACAATCTTATTTACTGTGACACAGGACCTGGATATTCCTCGTGCGATGGTTTCATGCTGATGAGCATCAGCCCCCAATGGCCGTTACATGGTGTAGGCTTTTTGGTGGGGATGACAGCTCGCACCTGCTCGGTAAGCGGCAAACTTCTGCTCACGAAAAGAACCCCTGCGGTAGAATGTTTCTCAGACCATTCTACAACCAAGTCACTTGGGTGAAATATATCTTTTTCCGGCGTTGCTCCATTGTCCTGGTTACAGCGCACTTGTGACAAGCTTCTCAGAAAACCATCATCGTGGCAGGCCAATATTTAACACTTGTCTCTGGTTTCCCTTACAAACCTCCAGCTTCCACTTTAGAGTCTACGGAGCTGAAATTTAGTTACACCTCCTTTACTTCGACAAGGATTCCCAACTAATTCCCCGCTAATTTCGCGGATTGCGTCGTCTTCGTCTCTCAACACAACTCCCTATCACCGTTATCATGAAGCGAACTACGATCAGATCAGATGGTAGGGTCGGAGCCCTACCCATCACCCACCCTTGATCATGGAGGAAAAGCCATCCGATGAGATTCCGGAGCGTACCCAGCACCCGATATGGAGATGGTGGATTGGATCAAGTCGACCTCGACTGTTACAAAGAAGGGAGATATAGATGAATATGCGCACCTCGTGTGGTCCCGGTGTCTAGGCCTCGTCTGGCTGACGTTACAAAGTTTATGAGAATCCTTCCCAAGCATGCAGTTTCAATTGTTACCAAAGATACCGCAGAAAATGATACTGAATTCTACAGACAAAAACGAGTCAAATACTACATATTATGCGAGTTACATCAGAGGTCCTTTTTTCGTATCAAAAAGGGGTAGGGGCAATATACAAGGTGTGGCCAGGAGCAGAGAGGAATCCAATGTGCTCGACAGTCTGAATCAAATATTACGGTATAGATCAGCCAATCAGCCAATCGGCTAGTGAACGTCATCCTGAGGTGTGGGATTAGGCCATGATGAGGGTGATAATTTGACGCACTTGTTGATATTGACTTTTAAGAAGGGCCCAGGGCGGTTACGCTCTGCTGTGACAACCTTTTGCGAAATTCATTAAGATGAATGCAATACATTGAGCATCGTGTAAAAAGTAATGGCAGCAGCTATGAGAATTATTTGTTGTTCAATGCGCATAGTAAGGTTCGTAAGGGCACCAATTAGAAAGAAAGATTATCTGAAATGCTATACAAGAAATAGCTCGTGACTGATCTTGGATTAGATTAGAATTGAATTTATTTACCCACCGAATCCAAGACAACGAGGGACTTATTGAATCTAATTGAACAATTCTATTTACAGTCAATAAATTTGCATTTGAAACGTTCCAGCCTTTCTTCTGATAGGTGTTGAAGGCTAAGCCTTCTGATAACCTGAGAATTCGCCCGGTGAAAAATGTGACACAAATGTACCTATTTTGGTGGCTAATTTCATTGTCGGAAAATTAAAATCACTACCTTTCATCTTTAGAAGTAGTAGTAGGAGCATCAAATGAGCACCTGGGCCAATAATTGCCCACGCATGATTGGAATGCCTTCAGGTCTACGTTAAATCAAGGCTGAGGATGTAGATTGCATCCGACTAATTTCCTCGTCTCGAGCTTACAAATGAAAGCTTACTCATTTCTGTAACAATCATCATTCGCGACTGCTTAGAAAGAGACATCATGCTAAAACTTCTTGTTAACGGGAGTGTAAGAGCTGCATCGGATGAACTCTCGGTTGCTTGAACATGTCGCATGAATCAGGTAGTGATCGGCGCAACTCACGGTTGGAAGCGTCGCAGTTGACCACATCTGCACCATAAACAGCCTTCCACACTTAGGCTAACAAACATGCCACCTCAAGCTCTAACTGGGGATCAAGACGCTATTGATGACTTTCTCCGGAAGTTCGAAGTGAGTTGATGAAATGATTAAGTGCCTTGCATCGAAATGTGCTAATTTAGACTAACTGAGGTCTGCGTTAGATATTTCTTTTTGACTGCGATGGTTGGAACTCCAATTATAGATCTATACGTATTTACTAACCTCTAGTCAGGAGTACTTTGGTCGGGAGATTACGTTTTTCCTGGGACCGTGGAAACTCTCGAACTGCTGAGGGCCAAAGGTACTTCGGCTCCGCGCACCACTGATATCTAATTGCTAATGTCAATCAAGGGAAAAAGATTGTCTTTGTCACTAATAACTCAACCAAATCGCGCGAGGAATACCAAAAAAAGCTCGCCTCGCTAGGTATAGCTAGCACGACTGAAGAAATCTTTGCATCTGCCTATTCTTCAGCTATCTACATCTCTCGGATCCTCCAACTACCATCTCCAAAAAACAAAGTGTTTGTCCTGGGTGAATCTGGCATCGAGCAGGAGCTTCAGAGTGAAGGGATAGAGTTTATTGGCGGAACAGATCCAGCCTATCGACGTCCAATTACATCCGAAGACCGGGAGCGCCTTGCCGATGGATCTTTTCTAGATGGCGACGTGGGAATTGTTCTGGCTGGTCTTGACTTTCACATTAACTATCTAAAGCTTGCCGTAGCTTACCAGTATCTCGCTCGTGGTGCTGTTTTCCTCGCAACCAACACCGATAGCACCTTGCCGTCTAACAACACTTTTTTTCCTGGAGCTGGCTCCATTTCAATACCACTCACAAATATGACGGGCCAGACACCTCTAGCTCTGGGAAAGCCAAGCCAGGCCATGATGGATGCTATAGAGGGCAAGTTTAAACTTAACAGGGCAAAAACCTGCATGGTGGGCGATCGTCTGAATACTGACATTAAATTTGGCGTTGAAGGAAACCTTGGAGGGACACTAATGGTCTTAACGGGAGTTAACAAGAAAGGAGATTGGGATCTCGACAATTCCGCAGCGGTGCCCGGCTATTATGTAGAGAGACTGAGTGATCTCAGTGGATATAATGCTTAGATCAGGTTTTGGAGTTTTCCAAATTATTCCGAGTATATGAGATTTTTAATTCATGTGGTCAAGCATTCTGATTCTAGCTTAGATACTTGTGGACTTATTCGAGCTTCCACAATGGTGTTAATTTTTTACAACTTTCACATTCCTGTAATCCAAAATTTCAACCCATTCATAAGAGAGTTACTTCTCATCATTTAACGCCATGGAAGAGGAATTAAAGCCACTTGTTGCCAACACAGCAAGACCAGGCTATAAAGATAGTCTAAATTGGGCATAAACATATGAGTCATGGCATTGGACAATATCAAGGGAAATGATGCCTAGGTATATCTAGCAGGTTATGCCTGAGAACAAAAGGAATAAGGGAAGGTCACCTGATGCCTACGGAGTCATTGATGATGCGATTGCTCAGGGAAGAGTGTAGACTACTAACATGATTCTGTAGCTAACTACTGGCCGGGTAACTATCCTTTCAGTCAATCTTAATTGTAAGTATTAGGGAACGGGTATTTCAAATCCTAGTCTTCAGGTGATTCCGTCCGATCTTGCTTCACATATTGTACTAATTTGTAGAGCTGTCAGTTGTAATCAGCTCACTTAAGCGGGCTAGTTTCACAGTTAACAATAAGTACGAGATAGTTACATTGCTAGGCTGGAGTTAACGTGGCCATATTTTCGACAGAGGCGACACTGCGACACATCAATTGTGGGAAGTCTTGGCTTGGTCCACACACTCAAAATTACTAATAGACTCTAACCTGGTTAATGATACAGGCCAGGGATCTATGCTTCGCAGATGAGTGCAAGCTATGCCTATCTTAATGTTACGTTCCATCCATGGGGTCGAGAACAACTGCCCCCACTTATCGGTAAAATCCGTAGCATTATGGGCAAGCTAGGGCGATTTTATGATTTCTGAATCTTCTAGCATGATTTTCTTGCGTTTCTCTACATAGAGCCAAGGGCGACTATTCTCCACACCTATCAGTAGCGTCCCCTTCAAACTTCCGACTCTCACTGTAGAGTCTATTGAGCCAAGATTGAGTAACAACGTCCTCACTTCGATGAGGTTCCCCAATCGCTTCCTCGGTCTGTATCGTCTTCATCTCTCAACATATGACTCTATTACCTCTGTTATGAAGCTAACCATGATCAAATTAGGTGGTCGGTTCGAAGCCCTGCTCGTCACAAACACTTGATAGTGGAGGGAAAACCATCCGATGAGTTTCCAGAGCGTACCCAGCACCCGATACAGCGATGGATGATTGGATCAAGATGGCCTCGAATGTTACAAAGAAGGGAGATCGAGATAAATATGCGCACCTCATGTGGTCCCGGTGTCTAGGCCTCGCCTGGCTGGGGCTGCAGGTTTTTTGAGACTTTTTCCCGCGCACGCAGTCTCAATTGCTACCTTTTATTTTTATTTTTCTTTGGAAAGAAGATTCCATGGAAAAGGTGGCTGAATTGCACGGATAAATACTGAGCTGAATGACTATTTATCAAGGGCAATGTATCAATTATCTTTCAAGAAACATGAGAAGCAAGGAGCACTGTACAAGGTGTGGCCTAGTTCAGGAAGCAGCCCGATATGCTAGATAGTCTATGACTCAAGTAGTACAAAAGAAACATCTTATCACACACACCTGATGCCAACTGTAGATCTTAGGAAATAGATAAAGTGCTTCTCCACTCTTTATGTGTCCAATTTATGGCCCATAATTGTTGATCGTTAGTGGGCAATACTTCGCTGTCAATACTATGAACTTGAGAAATGAAGCGAAGGATATTCTGTGTAAGGTACTACGCCTGACAATCTAACTCGCTCTTGCTAGGGATTATGATAGCTCAGGAGAGCTAGGATGATAATCACCTCGTCGTCGAGGATGGGGATGACTTTAACGGAGATATTTCATCTCTCAATACTTCCATAGCTCTCACCCCGGGCCTCCGCTTTTAAATTGCCGCATGGTCAGCTACCTATATTCTAAACTTGAGGTTGAGTTATTGCTCGCCCACTACATCCACCCGTCAATTTTACTAAACCCAAAATTAGTAGATAAAGGATCCAGCCTCTTATGAATTCTGCTTACCACGATTTTTGCCGTCGAATCTCGTTAAGCTGCGATACTCTCACTAGGTATTTTTCATACAGAATAGGCCTAAGTAACAAGTATATTTTTATAAATTAGGACCAGCGGTAGATCTACAATCTTCTATTAGGTCGGAACTCTAAGCGTTACCAAAATATTTTACACGCAATATCACCATCTTCTATTAATTGCTGAAAAGCATTTTATTTATGAAACCTCATTCTCCTACGTGCCAAATATGCCTCGAAGATATGATAAAGACCAATATTCAGGTAAGGGCTGCAAGACACATGTTCAGGAGCTTCGCTTCAAGATTTAGTGGACAATCTATCTGCACAAATTGAAAAGATTATGGGGAAATCGAAGCTAGCCTCTGTCAGTGCCAAGAGACGTACAAAGAAATAACAATTCATACCTTTTTAAGGTTCTTTGTATCTTATCGACTCACCCAGAGTATAATTACTATACACTCCAAAACTTACGTTAAGCATATGATGTAGGATGAGACAGTTTAAAGATCTTTAACTGGCGTCCACTATCACATTTTGATCACTTTCATTAAGGTTTAAGTGAACATAATAAGGTTATAATCATTAAAAGGGTGAGACCAGTGCCTAAATAAAGCTTGGGAGCAATTCTGGTACAGGAAATGATGTGAATTTTATCCTACAACTGGTTGGTTTTCATAACCTAGAGCTAGCATGTACTGCTTAAAGTAAAGCTTATAAGTGGAACCTTGCACGCACAAGAAATCACACTGGGGCTCTTATCACACTCACTAATTTATTTGAAGGTGTATCTTCTCAGTCATATCACTATAATATGAATTGAGAAGAAAATTGAAAAGGAATGATCTTTTCTAGAGGAGGGCAAGACTGAACACCTATACGCGGTGTCCTCTACGAAACTGGGAGTGAAATATTCACCCAGAGCCAAGCTCAGTTCAATTCCACAAAATCAAAGAAGTTGGCCCACGAGGCAATGATTCAAATTACTCTACCACGTCAATCTTTCACTCCCAAAGAGTCCGATTCTCAACTAAGCTTCATCAAGTCTACAAGTACGACCAAGTACATCCTCAACCCAATGACCACAACTCTCGTCGACTTTCTCTGGCCTCGACCACCAAATACACGCCCACGCCGATATCTACACCCGACGGAGGAAGCAAAGTGTGGCGCACAAATCTGGGAGACAGTTCTTTGGGATGGACATGAGAGGGATCAGGACAAGTTTACAAGATGATGCAAAGGAAGGATATAACCTTGAAGGGAGTGAAATTCCGAATTTTGGCAAGCAGTTTTACGAATTGAGCTTTGTGCGTGCCAAGACTGCGCCTGCGAGAGTGCAGCTGACACTATAAACACAAGCAACCGATGGAAGGTGTTGTGGTCCTCCTTCTGGTGATGTTCTATGGTATAGTTTGAGTAGCCTGGGTACCTACTCCACTTGGGAAGGAGACACCTCAGATCACATTTCGCGCGGAGAAAAGTTGATGGATCACGGAGGCATGTCTGGATAAGTCAGGGTTTTTGAGATGTTCCCCTGGGTGGGTATTCACGGATGAGGGTTGACTTGGGATGAAGAAAAAGCCACCACAACTTCGCAGTGGTAATTGCAAATGAAATCTGAGGCATGAGTGCTCTTCTTTCAAAATTAGTCATCTGTTATGTACTTTTTCTCTGATAATATGTCTCAGCTAGCTAGTTGTATACGAGATTCAAGTCTGTTCAAAATAAATCCTCTGATGGCTCCAGCTACCCCTACCCAATCAAGGCCAGGACAGAGGCGGCAAAGACGAATTCTTCACCTTCCAGTGGTGCCGGTGTAATCGCTCAGTATGCTCTGCATACTTGGGATAGCCAAGAAGATTCGCATCCGAATCAAAGTCGAAAGTAATCTCAAATATATCTCCATTTGACGACTTCTCGACAATGCCTCTCTTGTCATTCTCATCTGAGTCCTCAACCTCTCTCTAACCAGGCATCATCTCGCCTCGACGATCAAAAAAGAAGTTGCTGCAATTGCATACAGGAGCTTGCCCCATTAATATCCAGCCATCTCTCACTATAGATTTACGACGCTATTTATAACCGCAAGGAGGAAATCAAGTCGAAAAATACAAAGCTTGGGCCCTGGCTTATGTGGGACTGTTGCTCTGATTGGACAATTAACTTGAGGGGGACAGGTCTCTGAAGGCCATGCTAGGACTGACATTTTCGAAGAGTTCTCAACTTTGGATTTTTTGTGGGCGCCAAGACCGAGATTTCGGCTAATTAGCCAGGACTTCTTCTGTCGATGAGTCAATAGCACAAAAGAAGTTGGGCTAAGCTACTATACAGCAATCACGCTCTGTCAAGACTCTTCTGAAATTTCACCACGACCTTCGGGAAGGAGTTGGAAGGAGGCTAGAAAGGCAGAGGGTGAGTTTCCCGAGGTATCCACAAGTCTGCAACTTCCAGCTGGCCGGCCTCTTCGAACGCTTCTGAAGGGTCACTATGTCTTCGGATTTAGTCCTAATGTCGGTATTAGGAGAGCTCCGCACCCAGTGGTTTTTGCAATTTTTCCCGGCTGCCATACACCCGCAAATGGCCATCGCTTCGTTGGCTGGAGAGGGGAGATAATGAAGGGAAAAGGGCTCCTCTAAGTGTATGATCGAATGAGGACTTGTGAGGGTTGGTACTGTTTGAGGGGTGCTGTATGGGAGGCATAGGAGGCATAGGAGGGGATATACTACTGGTATAGGTACCCATGGCCTGTAGGCAGAGAGGACCTGCATGTCCTACGTATCCGTAGACTCAGAAAGGACAATAAAATGAAATAATAATAATACTCCCACCACATAAAATCTGAGTACCTGTTAGGGTGTCCGGTGAACATAGGTGTGAAATAATCTTGTATATACGAGATTACTCAAATTTCGTCATGTCAAAGAAGTTAGCCATTGAGAGAATGATGCAAGAATTCCAACAAGATTTTTGCCCAGCAATTCCTCTTCAAGCTTTCAAGTGCGACCTATAACATCCTTATTTCAATGACCTCACCTCTCGTCAAATATATTTCTGGACTAAAAGGGCCTCCATGTACACGCCTATAAGAATATGAATACCTGCTAGAGTATCAAAATATTGGTGCGCAAATTTTGGAGGCAGGTACTTGAGATGAGCATGAGAGAAATTGGGACAAGTTTACAAGATGATACAAAGAATACAATCTCGACGGGCGTGGAATTTTGAATTTTGGCAAGGAGATTTACATATTGAAGACTATTGTACGCGCCAATACTTCGAAAGCGAGAGTATAACTGACACTATAAAAACAAGACAACGACGGAATGCACCGTAGTCCGTCTTCTGGTGGTGTCCACTAGTATCTTTTTAGTAGCCTAGCCAATACTTCATTTGGGAAGAAGCACCTCAGACCAGATTTCGCATGGAGACAAGTTAATAGATATGCAGACATGTCTGGATAACTCAGAGTTTTTTGAGACGTTTCCCTGGGTGATTATTCACAGATGGGGGCTGACTTGGATAAATTGTTCAATTTTCCTGATTTGGCGCCTTGAGGCCCTTGCAGATTTTCACCGGAAAAGCTATACTTTAAGTAGGATGACTCAATTTGAAGTTTAGAAGACTCACACTCAGATGTCATTTACAGATACCGCGAGAAAGTGTTATGTGTTGATTTTACTGGATTCGAACCAGCTTTCGCCTGTCTTAAGTGGGTTGGGTGTTCTAGCTACCCAGAATATACTTGGGAGAACGGTCTGAATTATATACCACTGCACCATCCAGCCCTGAGGACTGACTTGGGCTAAAGAAAAAGCCGGAAAAACTTCGCAGTGATACTTGCGATCTAATTCGAGGCGTGGGGGGGCAAGACTGAACACCTGTACGCGGTGTCCTCTACGAACCTGGGAGTGAAATATTCTCTCAGAGCCAAGTTCAGTCAAATCTCGCAATACCGAACAAGTTGGCCCACGAGACAATGATCCAAATTACTCCACCACGTCAAATTTTCACTCCCAACGAGATCGATTCCTACCTAAGCTTCATCAAGTCTACAAGTACGACCTAGTACATACTTACTCCAATGATCACACTTCTCCTCGACTTTCTCTGGCCTCAGCCGGTCACCAAATACACGCCCACGCCGATATTTATACCCGACGGAGGACACAAAGCGTGGCGCACAAATCTGGGAGACAGTTCTTTGGTATTGGCGTGAGAGGATTCAGGACAAGTTAACAAGATGATGCGAAGGATGGATTCAGTCTCGACGGGCGTGGAATTTTGAATTCTGGCAAGGAGTTTTTACTAACTGAGCTTTGTGCGTGCCAAGACTTCGGTTGCGAGAGTGCAGGCGACACTATAAACATCGCCATGGTTGGATGGTGCGGTGGTACATCGTCTTGGCCGGTCTGCCAAGTAGAGTCTGGATAGCTTGGACACATATCCCACTCGAGACAGTAGCTCGCTGGTTCAAATCTGGCAAAACACAACCGCGTTTCTCGCGGTGCTGGTATGCATGGATGACGAAGGCATGCTTGGATAACTAAAGGTTTTGAAATTCCCTTTGGTGGGTACTTACGGAGGAGGATAGACTGTTTGTGTAAGCGAACATACCTCATAGTGGTATTTGCGAATGAAATCCAGAGTACGAGTGTCTCTAACGTCAAAAGAGTCATCCAACATATATACATAGCACCGGTCATGTGTCATAGCTAAATAGCTGAATACACATTAAATGATTAAAAAAAAAAAATCGAGGCGTGATGGCTCAAACTTCAAATTAAGTCATCTATTCTGTACTTTATCATTGAAATCGTATCATATCTATGTACCTATATACGACCAAAACTTTCATTCAGAAATCTGAAAATAAAAATATTACTCATTTTGGAAAATATTGATTAATTTGTTGCATTGATTGCGTGTTGCGTCAGTATTCCTCACCACCTTTAATGTTGTAGGCTGTTTTGGGAGGCTGTACTCAATAAGCATTTTCAAGGAAAATTTCAGGAATAGTATGCTAGCGGGGGAGAGCTCAGGTTGAAAATTGTTGACTCACCGCCACTTCAAATTTCTTCGTCCGTTTTGAAGTCTTTGTTTTGTCAACTATTCTTCAGATTTACTAACAGTGCAAACCAACAGGGGAATTATTCTCTACACCTATTAGTGGCGTCCCCTACACACCTCCAACTCTCATTGTAGAGTCTATTGAGCCAAGATTGAATACCAACGTCCTCACTTCGATGAGGATTCCTAACCGCTTTCGTGGTCTGTATTGTCTTCTTTTCTCGGCACATTCCCTTATCACCATTATCATGAACCTAACCACGATCAGATCAGATAGTAGGGTCGAAGCCCTTCTCATCACCCACTCTTGGCCATGCAGGAGAAGCACTGAGATGAGTTTCTGGAGCGTACCCAGCACCCGATACAGCGATGGATGATTGGATCAAGATGGCCTCCAATGTTACTAAGAAGGGAGATATAGATGAATGTGCGCACCTCATGTGGTCCCCGCGCCTTGGCCTTGTCTGGCTGGGGCTGCAGATTTTTGAGACTTTTTCCCACGCACGCAGTTTCCATTGCTACCATTTTTATTTTTTTTGGGATGGAGATTTTGTGGAAAGGTGGCTGAATTCCACGGGTAAACACCGAGCTGAATGGCTATTCATCACGGGCAATATATCAAATATCTTTGAAGTAAAAAAGGGGCAAGGAGCACTGTACAAGGTGTGGCCTAGTTCAGAAAGGAGCCCGATATGCTAGATAGTCTAAAACTCAAATATACAATAAAAACATGATATCGCCGCTATCAGTTCACAGGTGTGAAGCGTAGGTTATTTTTGCATAAGATTTTAATTGCGTATGCAGCTATCTCGCTGTGATACAATATCAGAGAAGTATATATTAGATGACTCAATCTAAAGGAAGAGCAATTATTCCTCGGATTTCATTTGCAAGTACCACTGCGAATTTATTCTTAATTCATTTTATTGTCCTTTCTGAGTCTACGGATACGTAGGACATGCAGGTCCTCTCTGCCTACAGGCCATGGGTACCTATACCAATACTATATCCCCTCCTATGCCTCCCATACAGCTTCCCTCAAACAGTACCAACCCCCACAAGTCCTCATTCTCTCCATGGCTAACTTCTTTGACATGACGAAATTTGACTAATCTCGTATATACAAGATTATTTCACACCTATGTTCACCGGACACCCTAACAGGTACTCAGATTTTATGTGGTGGGAGTATTATTATTATTTCATTTTATTGTCCTTTCTGAGTCTACGGATACGTAGGACATGCAGGTCCTCTCTGCCTACAGGCCATGGGTACCTATACCAGTAGTATATCCCCTCCTATGCCTCCTATGCCTCCCATACAGCACCCCTCAAACAGTACCAACCCTCACAAGTCCTCATTCGATCATACACTTAGAGGAGCCCTTTTCCCTTCATTATCTCCCCTCTCCAGCCAACGAAGCGATGGCCATTTGCGGGTGTATGGCAGCCGGGAAAAATTGCAAAAACCACTGGGTGCGGAGCTCTCCTAATACCGACATTAGGACTAAATCCGAAGACATAGTGACCCTTCAGAAGCGTTCGAAGAGGCCGGCCAGCTGGAAGTTGCAGACTTGTGGATACCTCGGGAAACTCACCCTCTGCCTTTCTAGCCTCCTTCCAACTCCTTCCCGAAGGTCGTGGTGAAATTTCAGAAGAGTCTTGACAGAGCGTGATTGCTGTATAGTAGCTTAGCCCAACTTCTTTTGTGCTATTGACTCATCGACAGAAGAAGTCCTGGCTAATTAGCCGAAATCTCGGTCTTGGCGCCCACAAAAAATCCAAAGTTGAGAACTCTTCGAAAATGTCAGTCCTAGCATGGCCTTCAGAGACCTGTCCCCCTCAAGTTAATTGTCCAATCAGAGCAACAGTCCCACATAAGCCAGGGCCCAAGCTTTGTATTTTTCGACTTGATTTCCTCCTTGCGGTTATAAATAGCGTCGTAAATCTATAGTGAGAGATGGCTGGATATTAATGGGGCAAGCTCCTGTATGCAATTGCAGCAACTTCTTTTTTGATCGTCGAGGCGAGATGATGCCTGGTTAGAGAGAGGTTGAGGACTCAGATGAGAATGACAAGAGAGGCATTGTCGAGAAGTCGTCAAATGGAGATATATTTGAGATTACTTTCGACTTTGATTCGGATGCGAATCTTCTTGGCTATCCCAAGTATGCAGAGCATACTGAGCGATTACACCGGCACCACTGGAAGGTGAAGAATTTGTGGCGGGAGTACTCAAGAGGGGCTGGCATTTGATATTAACCTGACTTCCCATGTGTATATTACCTACCCTGCTTCGAATCTTACTCGCTTATCAAATTTGTTTTGTACACAATCAAATTAAACACGGCAAGTTTTGGGCGTCACGTAGCTGTCCGAAGGGCATCCTCAGTGGACGCGTCGTGACTCCGAAGTCCGTCGCCTTCAACGAGTAATCTGCCCCGCCACGCCCCACTACGCATAGAAATAAGCACACTTGCTGCTGTTGCGACAAATGAAGCCCCCTTACACACCTCTTGCCGCACCTTAATTGATGTTCATATCAAAATAATGGTCAGTGCATGATTGAAACATTGTTTGCTCCAGTGATAGCAGCAATGCCTCCGATTCTCAATGCCTCAAGTAATTACGTCCAGTCAGCAAATGAACAAGTCACGGATACCACAAATCTTCTCCAGGCACGTCAGGAAATAACAGAGAATTTGCAAGTAAATCCTTATGATCTTATTCTCTACCTCCAAAGAGCCTCGATACATACAGTTTTAGGCTATCCTGATCTTGCCGCAGGTGACAGTTACCGGGCCCTTATTCTCTGTGACGAAATATCAAATGCGTCTTTCGAATACCATGACCAGGCTTGGAATACCCTGAGCGACCACTGTACGGATGGTATCCCTGGTTTCTTGCAGGGACAAAACATCAAGCTTCCCTCTGACATTGCCAGCCGCTTTACATCCTTGAGTGTAGAGGATAATTACATGACGCAGAAGTTGTTAGAAACCTTACACATAGCCTCAGTTCAATGTTATCGCAGCTTATCGGCAAGTCTCAGACTCTGTCATTGCTTAAAGAGTGCATTTGAAAACTGCGCACGAGGACAAGCCCTTGCTCCAGATGACGAAGAGCTCCTAAAAACAAAGAAACTTATTGAGAGGGATGCAATGGCCGCGGCGCCTGACAATAAATTTGATATAAAAAGTTTGCCCGACGAAGGCTTAGTCCGACGGGAATTATATCCATGGAACAATTATGAGCCCGATCGATTTTCGCCATCTTCTCTGGCCTCTCTTAATCACCAGCTAGCAGTGATAGCGCCAAAGTGTGAGGTAAGAGTGACTGAATTGCCAAATCTTGCACCGCACGCGATTGATGCAACTCGTTCACACCCTCATCCAAGTAATAGTCAATTAGGTCTCTTTGCCAAAGAAGATATATTACCAGGCGAGATGGTGCTTACCGAACTATCTGTTCTGACCGCCAACAATTGTTTCAAAGAGCCACTCTGTGATGCTTGTAGTGCTAAACTACCGCCACTCTCTGCAGTCAATGACATAGTTGACTGTAGTGAGTGCGAAGATATATCATTTTGTAATCAGATTTGTCTCACCCGGGCCTTAGAGGAATATCACCCGGCAGTATGCGGAAAAGATGTCGATACAATCGCGAAAGACCCAAATCCTATCGAAAAGCCTTTTGCGCTCTACTTTCTTCTCCTTTGCCGTTCCATTGCCATGGCTAGTACACAAGGACTACACCCTCTCAACCTCAAAGAAGTCAAGTATATCTGGGGTGACTTTAGTCGTCCTGAAACATCTCCCTTAATCCCCTTGATCTCTTCATACGAAGCACCATGTACTCTACCTTTCTCATTCAAATACAGCATCGTAGAGCCCCTTCATTTTCTGGAGAAACTAGATATCGATATCTTTGCCGATGTGGCCAATTATGATCAATGGGTCTTGAATACCCTCTGTACGTTGTAATCTCTCTCTTCTTCCCCTTCACACAAATTACCTAGCGCTCGACTCAAGCTGCACAACTCAAGTCAATCATCTCGTTGCTGACGTCACGCCATATTACAGATAGCAAGTTCCGCGGTACAGCTTCGGCTTGCGTTAATCCTCGGACTGGACACCCTGAAGTCGCCGCAGTACACCCTCTCTGGTGTCTCGCCAACCACGATTGTGATCCTAATGTAGAGTGGCAGTGGCAGGGGCACATGAATATGCGTTGCCGAAAGGCTAGAATCGGGGGTTGTATCGGTGGTATTTCCGCAGACATGGAGATTTTGAACCACTACTGTGATATTGAGCTTGGTGTGCGTCAACGGCGAGAATGGGCGCATGGCAGTCTCGGTGGCTGGTGTCAGTGTAAGCGATGTCGTGATGAGTCCGTCGGAACCGAGCCTTGTGTAGAATGAAAGACAGCTACCAGGGTCACAAGGTGCTTGGGATATGACAGGTATGAAAATGTGAAGATGGATGATGTCAAATCTACTGAATTTAATTATTTATATGCTAATAATGACTTATCTCTAGTTATTAGGTTTTGTGGACATATTTCATCACTAGGAAAAACGATATCACATGTTAATTGAATTCAATATTACCCGCAATAAGACCGATGCAGTGGTATGTCATGAGGACATATCGAGAGTATTTTTTTTAAAAAGTCTCACGAGATGCTACTTTCTTCAGCCTTTATTTCCCAGGATGAACTTCCACACCCCCGGCTTTCGTCCGTCACGGTGCAGATCCCAGATCAAATTGTTCTACCAACTCCCAAAACATCGCCTCTCCAGTCGTATTCTGTACGAAGTCACTGAGACCGGCATTAGTTCGGATGTCACGGACTAAGGTCTTAGCTAGTTGTTTCTCTCCTCGAGATACTAAAGCCTCCAGTACTTTACGCATAGCACCCCACCCGACTCGTGTCTTCTGGCTTGATAATCGGGCAATGATCTCAAGAGCTGTAGAGGTATCACCAATAAGCGCACAGCATTCAATGGCACGGTCCCAAAAGACTCGATCGAGTCCGACAATTTCCTCGGCTCCCGCGATAATCTGTTGCGCCAGCTTGTGCTGTGGAGGATCCTGTAGATAGTAATAATCGAGCAGATTAGTTTGTATTTGAATTGATAGCTTTAGATTTTCCGCAGAAATCTGTTGTAAAAGTGCTTGGATCGTTGGCATATTTAATGGATCATGGTTGCGAGTTAATTGATGGATAATTTTGCCATAGATAGATATACTTGGCTTAACACCAGCCTGACTCATATCTTCTAAAATACCCTCGACTATTTTCTTTTGTTGTTCTGGCGTATATCGATGTGGAAAGCGTAATATTTCGTCCAGTAGAATGGTATATGTTACTACATCTGCCTCAACGCCTGCTCTTTCCATGCGCTTCAAAAGCATCATGGCTTCTTGACGCTGTGAATTACGTATCATAGAACGTAAGAAGATATTAAAGGTAAAAATATCGGGCTTAATACCAAATGCACGGGCCCAAGTAATTAGTTGATTCGCCTCTGTTTTTTTGCCAAGCCTTACTAGTCCAGATACTATTGCATTCAAGCAGCTCACATCTGGCTTGACCATAGTTTTTACGTCATCTACTAGTTGAAGTTCTTCGTGGCTAAGTTGGGGATGCTTTTTCTTTGCAGCTGCTAGCCACAAACGTCCCATTTCTTCCAAGGTTCGAATTGCCATATCAATTTCCTTAGATTCTGCAAATATACTAATACGTGTCGACCAGCTGATCGCATCTGGGAGTGTTCCGGACTGAATCATTTTGTTCCATAGTTTTTCCGAGCTTCTCCAATCGCTGACCATCCTACAGCCTGACATCATCGAGTTCCATGTCTTCAGACTTGGCACCAGTCCATTTTGGATCATATGGTTCCAGATTTCAATGGCTTTGCTGGGTCGTTGAAAGTTCATATAAGCAGTTATGAATTGGTTACATACTTCTAATGACAAGACCTTAGCACGCTCTACTACCGTGTCTCTAGACTCCTGATTCTGTACCGGCCACCTGGCCGCATCTTTCCAAAGTATATCTAGTTGAACATGATTTTTCAGATTCATGGCCAATCTAATTTGATGGAAAATCGATGGTGATCGTTTGAATTGCTGACGTGTTTCTGCTGGGTTCGACGTGCTTTTTCGAACAGGATTTGACCTAATTAGTGATGGATATTCGTCATCTTTTACAGAGGATGAGATATCTCTTAAGGATTTATATTTTTCGCGGGCAAAGAAGGTGTTAGTAGATGGCCCATCATTTCTTCTTAAGCTATCTGATTCAATCTGTGAAGAATGACTCAAATGGTTTCGAGAAACATTGACCAACTTATCTGGGGAGTCTGCCTCTAAATTCTCATGCGTAGGTCTAGTTATCGGAGCAGCCGTATCTGTTGCATTTTGGTGCACAAGATTTAAGCTTGTGGCATTAATATTTAACAGGCTTACTTTTTCAGTATAATCTCCTTCGTGAGAGTAATGATAGCTATCTGCATGGTCGCAGTCTGGAGAGGAATAGTTATGGTTCGCCTGGTGCGTAGAATCTTCAGATCCAACTCTAGATGAATATAGCTGATAGTTTAATGCATCGAAGAATCCGGTACTTTTTGAATAGAGTAGTGATTGGCGAGGATTTCTAGAATGAGAGGAACCTCCAAATGTATTTCTAGTTAACGAAACTGTGGAATACAATCTGGCGAATAGAATTACTTGCCCATGGCAGCGCATAGTGCAATTTAAGTACCAATCAGTAGCGTTAGTGAAACTTATGGCGTCGTTTCTAAGTCGAGCCCGATATTCAAGTTGAGACCTGCGAAAAGTTACATGTTGAAAGGTTTTGAACACTATACCTTTTGGATTCACGCTGATTTGTTGTTGAATCTTTTTAGCCGATGATAATGTTCTTTGAAATGACTGTGAAAGAGCTTTTTTTGTGAGAGGTCTACTCCATTTCCTCCGAAATCCCCAACAAAGTAAGTGTAATTTCATCCCCAGCTAGATGCTGAATTACCTTAGAGTAATCGCGCTTTGTATAGCCGGCTGATCATAGCTCACGGATAGGTAGCTAAGGAACACGGCCCACGTCCTTATAAGGTTAGCCTTGTTCACAGACATGTTCGCAACAACGATTAAGAACCCAGGCTGGATTGAGTGCTCCATGCTCACTCGACCTTATGTTTTTGAATTTATTTACAATATAGCTAGCATTGAAATAAAGCAGCAATGACATCCCTCCAATCCCGCAAACCATATTCACCTCAAGAATTAGCAAAACTATATCCCGATGAGCTTGAGCTTCAACAAGTTCAAGTACTATTCCGACATGGCGAACGTACTCCAATATCAGCAAGGTTTCAAAATGCCGGGCTCCCAAAATTTTGGCCTTACTGCTCCATTGCTCGACAAATGGTTAGCTCAACCGTGGAAGCTTGTGGTAGCAAAGATCAATGGAGCAATCTACAGTGGCAAAGACGGATTGAGACTTTTGACAAAGATGACAGCGCTATTTTGGCGACTGGGCCTGAGAAGGAAATTGATTCTTTGTGCACCATGGGCGAACTGACAGATTCGGGAAGAGCCTCAACTTATAAGCTTGGAGAACGACTCCGATATCTTTATGTCGATCAGTTGAAGTTTATGCCCGCATCTTTTGAACACGTAGGAAGTGTTCACCTTCGTGCAACTCCTATCCCTCGTGCTCTTGAATCTCTGCAGCAGACATTTACTGGGTTTTACCCACCCACTACTCGTGCTTCTTCACTTGGACCTGTAACAATAATGACAAGGACTGTGGATGATGAGACTCTTTATCCGAACGAATTCAAATGTCGAAGATTTCATCAGCTCTCGAAGGCATTTGCACAGAGAGCTGCTGAACGATGGAATCACACGTCCGAAATGGATTATTTAAACAGGCTCCTAGGCAAATGGATGCCAGAAAATAGCAAGATAATAGCAGTAGATTCACATCCTCGTATTTCGGGCATATTGGACACGATAAATTCAACATTGGCCCATGGTCCTCAAACTAGGTTGCCCAAGGAATTTTATGACCCGCGCGCAAGAGAAATATTGGAAAAAATTGGCATCGAAGAATGGTTCGACGGCTATAAAGAGTCTCAAGAATACAGAGCACTAGGAATTGGTAGCCTGATGGGGGATTTAGTTGACCGTATGGTTAGTTGTACCAAAGCATATAGGAATAATCAACGAGTAGATGGTCAAGATAAAATGACATTAATTAATAGTGATCAACATGATGCCAAGCTATCATTGGTAAGCTTACATCCTATCAGGTTACTAAACTTATCTTTTTGTCATTCTAATTCAGAATTTCCGAAGAAATAAATCTTACTACCTACTAAACTTGGTTCCTGACCCAACTGACTAAGTTTTAGAGTGGGTGCCATGATACTACACTCGCCGCTATTTTGGCAAGTCTAGGAGCCTTCAACTCCAAGTCATGGCCCCCTTATACGAGCCACATAGCATTTGAGCTTTTTAAAAAAAAGACTACTGCAACCAAAATTACTGCAGAAGTTAGCAAGCAAGATGATTCCAATGATAATTTCATGAGAAAAATTCACAAGGTATTTGAAAATAAGCTTCAAGTTCCTACAGTGCAAACCCAAAATAAAAGGCAAAATATCCAAGATTTCAAGCAATCAGATCGCTCAAAAATCCAAGGGTACTACGTAAGGTTGAGATACAACGACGAGATTATGTCTATTCCTGGATGTACAAAATTAGGCAATCATCTTGATGGAGATGAAAGCTTTTGCACATTGGTAATTGCTCCTTCCTTAGCGACAAATATGCTGAATTCTTTACTGTTTACACCATTTCTGCAACATATTTGACTTTGAACGAGAACAATTCTGCCATACTAAGCTAATGTCATTTAGGAAGCATTTAAATCGATAGTCGACAAGTTCGTACCAATTTCATGGGGCAAGGAATGTGAAGCAAATCTGAAGGCCCCGGCTTTTCCTGCAACAACACAACCACCGGGAAACTGAGTGAGATTTTAGATATCTCTTTTATTATCAGAAAGTGAACTAAACCTAGATTTATAATTAATTTAATGTTTCTTGGATCCTGAGAGTAGGCAAATATGTGAAGGAGCTTTAGGCTGGTCCCAACATAGTGTATTTTTTGGTTCGACTGAAAGATTATGGATCACTAGCCATGCTACAGCTGGTCTACTCAAAGTTTTGGTGGCTTTACAGCATTATGTGTATTATTTCCTTTAACGATGACACCAAGACCAGAACCTGCATCAATAGTGGAGGTTTTGTCGAGCTCAAGGTCAAAAGATTCATTTCCTGAAAACCTCCTGGGCACATGGTTAGTGGTGACCGGCTTTTGGGGGGAAGCTGACCATCCTCTTTCTTCACCGCCACTCAAAAAGCTACAGTCACCATTCAGCTTCACTTCCCAAGAACTCCCGCCAACCCCCTTGTTTTCCTTCCAGTCAAATTGAGAAACTTCGATATTACTATTTGGATTAAGTTCATGACGTAAGCTGGATTCACCGCAACTCTTTCTCACGAAGCAACTTAGGCCACATGTAAATGGTCGGAAGTCTTCTTTTTTGACGTCTTCGGGAATCTGGCCTGTTAAAACCCTACCAATTGCTATTAACGTGGCGGCATGCGTACACAATAAGATTGCCTCGATTCCGTCTTGGTCACACTGTTCAATTATTTGTTTCATAGTGTGAGCACATCTATCATGTAATTGGTGGATAGTTTCCCCTTTAGAACAGGGCTTAACAAAAGGCTCATAATTTTCATCAAGTTGTGGGAAAAGCTCCTTCAATACAACTGGCTCTGCTGGAGAGGGATGATTGAATTTTGCCACACCGTACCATTCTCCAAGGCCATTTTCCGCGCGTATTTTCAAAGACATATCAGTGTCAACTAGTGTAGAAATTGCATCAACCGTAGGGGAGACAGTTTGGAGGCACCGGTAGAATGGTGAACTGTAAATTCTTTGCACTGAAGGCGATACATTCTGTAGGTGAGCGGCAAGTTCGCGAGACTGTTGGACTCCATATGAAGCTAGAGCAGGATCGCCAGCTATACCTGTTGGGCTTGGAATGTTCGATGCATACTCTCCAGTCTGCGAATCAACAGTCCAGTTGCTCCTAAACTTGGATATAAGTAAGCAATAGCGTTCGTTAAACGGAATAAACTGGACTGAAAACTTGCACCGTGTCTAGTCAAATAAATGACTCTAAGACTCATTTCGCTTCAGCTCTATTATTGATTGATGAGAGGCAAGCGAACTAATTGATTGCTGATTGAATCCTGGTTCTGCAAGTCAAAGATTTGCTTGTTTACTTGATGAAGCTCGTGCCAGCCCACAATACTAGATAATGAAGGCTAGGTGCCGGTTGTTTCCGACCATATACCATGGACACCTTTATGACGCCCCAAAATAATCTGACTAATCAAATTTATGCCCGGTTACTGATAGGTGCGCAATAAATCTTGGAAGTTGAGAGGATATAGCTGCCTTTCAGGATGTGCTTCGTAATGGCTTCCATGTAAAAAAACTTCTTTTAAACCAACCTACACAATTGTGCGATCCAGTATCTGACCCATCTATCCTTGCGAAAATCAATATCTTCACAAGTTATTCATGTTCTGTGGTCCACAAGAAATATACTCTGTACATCCAAGTACGTGAGTATTAATATGGAGGGTTATGCGATGTGATGTGGTGGTTTCACTGTACTACTTGAGTCAAGACTAGTTAGCACATTGGGCTCCTCTCTGGCCCAGGCCACACCTTTTACAGTGCTCCTTGCCTGATATGGAGGGTTGCAATACGTGGTCTAGCCTTTTTGAATCCTGAAGAAGAATGAGAGAACTATTTGTCATGTGCTAACGGTGTGTCTTGGCACTCAATTATGTCGAAGACTTTGGTGATTTAACTCGATCTATATGCGAACTGTGTCAAGACCTTGCTCTACATCCGAGACACATGATACAGGTACCCTATCCTTTTAAACTTGCCGTGGCCAACGTAAACAGTTCCTATTTAACTGGTCAAGCGCAAGTGATAGACATTGCGCAATTGATACACTCCATGCCGTATCCGCTTCTCTTTTATAAGGAAAAAAGAGAAAGTATATGTATGTGTAAAGAAGTCACAGTGGAGAACCTTAAGACCTCATAGAATACCTGCTCAGTTCTAATATTTAGTAGGTGTCAGGAAGTGTAAGAAACGCAGTAGTCTCTCCTCTCCAATCATCGCTGTAGCCCAATAGAGAGGCTTGAATGGTAAAACTGAGCACTTCTATGTTATGTCCACTACGAATCTGGGAGGGAAGTATTCTCTCAGAGCCAAGGTTCAGTCAAATTTCGCAATACCTAACAAATTGATCTATGCGCCAATGATTCAATAGTCCAAACCAAATTAATTTTTCACCTCTCATCAAATCAGTCTCTGGTCTCAGATGGCCACCAAATACAATACCCCACGCTTGCACCTGTAGGAGGACAAGAATCGTTCTTCAAAATTGTGGGAGGCAGTTCTTTGCGATGAAAGTGAGAGGGATGTGGACAGGCTTATAAGATAACGTAACGGATGGATACAGTCTCGGGAGAGGTTAGATATTGAATTTTGTCTTGGAGTTTTACAAATTACTGGCATTTTGTACGCTAAGCATTTGATTGCAAGAATGTAAATAACTCTATAAACAAATACATAGCTGGAAAGTGAATTAATACATTATCTAGGCCGGTCTGCCCAGTAACTTCTGGTAAGCTTGGACACAAATTCCACTGGAGGCAGGAGATCACTTGTTCGAATTCGACAAAATATTATCAAATTTCTCGTGATGCTGGTATGATTAGGTGACGATAGCATACTTAGACAGTCAAAGGCTTTGAACTCTTCCTTTGAGTTCTCACGCAGGAGGGTCTACTGTTTGTGTAAATTAACAAACCTCAGTGGTATCAACGTATAAGACCAAGAATATGAGTTTCACTTAAGACAAGAGCCGTTCAAAATTTACACATGTCATCGATCTTGTGTTACAGCTAGATAGCTATATATAACTAAATGATACAGGAGGACGAAGGCTGAACACCTGTCAGTGGTGTCCTCTACGAACCTGAGAGTGAAATATTCTCCCAGAGCCGAGTTTTAGTCACGAAAAAAGGGTAGGATGAATTTTATTTGATGGATGTTCGACTTGAAGGAGTTACACTCGATAATTTGGTCGAAAAATCAGTCGGCAGAGATTACACAGTCACAACAAAGTTGATTAAAAACTTATCACTACTAACATTCGATTCACGAACGGGCCTAGGTCTATCTGGGGGTCGTATTCAAACACCCGACATCTCTCAAACTCCTTTTATATATGCGACGAGGCATTTCTCAATCGATCCAATACCTGCGATCCACCTCCAAACTCGTCCGATCACTTACCTACACATGCCATAATGAGGAAAGTCATGATGGAAATGGGACGTGTACGAAGGAGGAAGAAGTGGGAAGATGATAATGATGATATTATTTAACGTCTGTCACTGCGCGTGGCCTTTAGGCACACGCACTTTTATCCCTATGAAGAGCAAAGGACGCTAGAGCAGGAGCTCTAGACACCATGGGACTACTAAAAGTCTAGAATACAGAGCTATGCCGCGTTATGTGAAACTGCGTACAGAAAATGATGGATAAGCTTAAGCCAAAGAAAAACAAAAAAGAATATGAGACCTCCACTACCTCAAGTCTGGCGATCAAGCAGTCCCTCTCCCCCGCTCTGTCCATGGAGCCCCCAATCAAAACAAACGAAAAGGTGAGTCGGCCCCTCACCGTGGGCAGATTTCTTCGAAAAACCTAGAATTTTCTAGCCATTTAGACAAAGAGATTGTCCCTTCCGACGTGCCGATTAGATCCGGAAGGAGTTTGTCGATAGATCCAGCAGTGAGTCCTCCGCGGCGACGGCGGAGGATGCGGCAGAATAAAAAATGGGTAGGGGTCTTTGGTGACCCGCATAGGCAGGTAAGTCTGGCTTCGGCGTGATTAAAACGAGTGTGATAAGCAGTAAAGTCTCTGTGTCCGGTTCTAGCTGCTAAAATGATGCCCAGTGCTTTTCGGCTTAGAAGAAGCTCCTTCGGAAATAAGGGGGCGTGCTTGATTTCAAGTTGTGCATAAGATGCGGGAATATTTGTTTTCCACCAAATATCCCTTATCTGGGTCCTTAATGTGATGTTCCATTTCTTGAGTGATATGGTAGAATGTTTTGGTGGGTCGAGGTATGGAACCAATGCGCCCTTATTAGCCTCTGAATCGGCCAATTCATTGCCTTCGATCCTGGAATGTCTTGGAACCCATCGTATTTTGACGTAGCCCTCAGCGGTATGAGGAAGCCGGTGGCGAGTTTGCCATGTTTTAGCCACTTTTTGTATCTCGATGAAAGTGGATTGTGATGATGAGGTAACAATGGGACTTACTACTATCCTCCTGAAAACTTCTATATTGTCCAAAAAGACCCATAGGTTACTGGCAAAACGAGCAGATGGGAGAGAGACGGCTGCCTTAATTCCTCGAAGTGCAGCATGGGCTTCTGCATCATACGGCTCTATATTACTTCCCAGTGGGAAAGCATTCGAGCTAATTTTACGATCTAACTGGAAAATGACGAAGCCACCTCCAGCGTTTCCGTCCAGGAGCTTTGAACCATCAGTGTAGACGAGGATATCACTTTTAGGGATAGTGGGCAAGAAATCGGAGAAAATGTTAGCTCTTGATTGGCTTGGTCCTGAAGGTGCACCAATACACTTAAAAGCAATTTGCTTTTCTTCCTCTGCTTCCCACGGCGGGTTAAGGAGAGGGTCGAAATTCTCGGAATGAGGAATGTCCCTGCATGAGCGAGCGAGTCGAGTCAATGGGGGAAATGGCATTAAATTTCGCGCGCGCGAGGATAGGGGGTGGTAGGGATCTAGACTACGCATTCGGAGGGCAGCTCTCCTTGTTATATCGTCTAGTGCAATTTCTGCTGGGGAAATTCCTGCCTCCCTCAGGAGAGCGATGGTCGGAGTGGTTGAAAATACAGGAAGGACAGTCCTAGCAGCAGCGGCATGAACTTTATCAAGTGTACTGATATGGGAGCCAACCCTATTTGATATTTGTTTTCCTCTTTTCATTCTTGTTTTTCCGGGTCACCAGGTCGCAGCGGCAAAGTGGGCAATAGGTAAAACGCATGTGATAACCACTTGTCTAGGGAGACTGGGGGATATACCTCGAGCTGTATTTCTAATGCAGCGAAGAGCGTGAGCTACTTTTAGGGCTTTAGCTGCCTGTATTGTTATATGTTGCTTGAAGGTAAGTCGCTTGTCAAAGTGTACACCCAGCCATTTGAGGAATGGTTTTTGCGGATTTTCTGAGATGGAAAATTGGCTTGTGTGCACGTGAGGGCTAACACCCTTATCCCTATGATTCCTGGAAAAGTGAAGGAGTTCTGATTTTCCAGGGTCGAAGATTATGCCTTCTTTGATGCCCCATGCTAGCGCGTCATTTATGGTGGCACTTGTCTTGTTCGAGTTTTCTTGCAGAGATGCTGACATTTCTAGAACTGCAATGTCATCTGCATAGCCGAATGATTTTTGAAGTCCTTCAATCTTGAAAATCGGTGCAATATAAAGCATGAAGAGTATTGGTGATACTGGTGATCCTTGTGGTACTCCGCAGGAAATCGGTCTTGGTTTATCAATTTTTCCGTCTAATCTGATGCGGATCTCACGTTTGGTTAAGAATGACGTAACTCAGCTGCATAGATGAGCCGGCCAACCTTGTTCCCTTAGACGTCTAACGAGTCTACCTGGAAGGACAGCATCAAAAGCTCCTTTGACGTCGAGCGTAGCCAGTGTAGCTGTTTCACCTTTTGATAGCGCGGTTTCAACGTCGTGAGTGAGGCAAGTGGTTAGGTCTACACTAGAGCGCAGGGGAAGTGCTCCGAACTGCTGCCGGGAAAGCACCTTGAACTTGATCGCTATCCAGGACATTCGCTTTACCACTAGTCTTTCTAGCCCTTTTCCAAGAACTGATAGTAATGCGATTGGTCTATAAGATCTGGGAGAAGTCATATCTGCTTTGTTTGTCTTTGCAATGATTGATACAATTGCAGTGCGAAAAGCTTTAGGATGATGGCCAATATCCAGGCATTTTTGGAAGAGATCGAGGACAGTTGCCGATATATGAGGCCAGGCAAGACGCAGAATAGCTGTTG